ATACCTTTTTTTTGGTTTCTTTTTTCTATGATCAGATAGTTTGATGACGTTTGTGGGCTAATCTGTAATGAACAAAATCTACTCATTATCTTTGGGTTACGTCAAGTGTTTTAAATTTCTTTTGACATTTAAAATTCTGTAAGTTAATTTTCGTTATTTAATGTAAAATAAAAGTGCAGTGAAGTGATCAAATGAACATTCACATTTTATTATGGAAGGGTGAAACTTGATTCGAAATTATAAATTTTGTGACGTCTCAATACTACGCAATAGTTAAGTATTCAAGATAGTTCCAATAGTTTCACTTCGCTCTGGTTTAAACAATTATTTGAGTGCTATTCTATTTACTCAATGCTTTGAAAAGTCTACTATTAAATATATACCGCTCCTGTTGTAAACACGTTCCAAGTTTAGCATCTGGGTTCTAATTCTTCTTCCTAAGTTCAGCTCTTGTCGCGGTATGTCAACCAATTTTTATTTAGTGCCCTAATACTGAGGTTCAGAATGCAACACAACACTAACGTGTAGGTATTCTTCTGACACCCTTTCCTTTGATCATCGTCTTGTCGTATCAGATGCCCAAACAACTTTATCCAACAGTTTTGTATGTCTTTCATTGACTATAATTACAATGCTTTATGCGTATAATTTGTCGTATTAAGTAGAAAAAATTTGTTTAATCTTTGGACCGTTGGATATGTAAAAACTTGTACTGCTCTGAGAAACGCGCTTCGTTTATTTTTATTGGTAGGGTAGACCGGAGGCAAAAGTAACAGGGGACAATTGAAGTATTGTCTATATTTCGAAAACGGTCAGTCGTTTTTACGCGTCTGTGCTTGTACGTTCCGTCTTGTATTTAGTCGAGCGCCGTAACCCTTTAGGGTAATATTGTTCTGTGGCCGTAGCGCACGGTGCGATCGACTGTTGTAGATCGTTTTGTATTTCCGTGTCTTCAAAATAAGAATATATAGGTTTTTAAACACAAATTTTTGGACTTTTAACGAAGAATTTATATGTGTAAAATGATAAAATAGGTTTCTAAAAGATCAAAGATTGTGATAATATTACTATGTGTATGTATTTTACAGTAGTTTTGAAGATAATGAATATTCTTTTCTAATACCTCCACTGGTGCATTGTAACACATATTCCGGAGGCAATTGTGATGTTACAATTGGCCCGCTGTTAAAATTGACCCTGTGAGCATTTTTTAAATAATATTTTTTACGACCAATTCCAAATATTAAAGATTTAAGATGTATAACAAATAAATTGTTTATTTACTTACTAAAAAGTTCAGACGACATAAACGTAAAGAAAACACAGCTTTTAATTAAAGCATATTATTTAAAAAAAAATTACTTAACTTGAACATTGTGAAAATGCTCTAGTATCATTAATACGAGTAGATACCTTCTGTTAACGACTTCATTTGCACCGCAGGTAGAGGAGAAGTGCTAAGAATAAAAATCACAGGTTTACGAACAAGCGCTTCCTTGGAATATAGCCTGCAAACATTAATATATTGTAATCTGTGATATGATAACAGATGCTTTAATATTATGCTATGGGGGCGATTGTCACAATCAACATCTCATTCAAACTAAAAAATTTCGAGTACAAAATTTTGCATTTAGGTTAATTGTTTTTAGATTATAGTACATTACTACAATTTTTTCTGGCTAAATTTCAAATTTCTGGCCATAAAAAGCAATACCGTTAAAATTAAGACTACTATTTTTGTTTGTTTTTACACGTTTTTAATTGTCAGTATAATCACTAACAAATGTTTATAGCCAAATATATTTACCTTATCTTACACGGGAAATGTTTTACGGATACTTTAAAGCAGTTCTATAATCGAAGCGTGCATAAAAAGTGTTACTTTTGCCTCCGGTCTACCCTAAGAATATTATTTCATTTACAGTGTTAGTGTCTCTCCGTAACAAAATTTGTCCTAAACGTACCATTGCGTAAGTTTAGTCAATGTATATCGAGTGCATAAAAATCGATTATTAAAACTACTTCTTCCAAATAAAAATCCTTTATAATTTTTGGATTTTGTTATGTTACAAATACAGATTGTTTCGTATCTATTATTTTGGAATTATACACTGAACTCATGGAAAAGTACTTCTATATAGAATCAATGGTCCAGAAGTAGATACCGATCAAACGACCATATAATGCGTTATACATTACCATCAGTATAAACATGTGTTAACAAACCTCGTTTTGCTATGGCCACTAATGACACCGTGTATCAGCTGACATTGGAAAATATAGTCGACACTATATAATTATGTACGCGTTTGTTTTAATCTCTGTCTAGAGTGATACGGGCATTGTCATTATGGTCGTTTTGCGATCTAGTCCTTATACTGATCAGGTCATTTTGATGATATAGTCATTATGATACCGACCCTTGTTTTCTAAAGTGAACTGTGACGTCATGTGATTCGAAAAAAACAAGACTAGAACTTATTTTACCAATTTCTTAATTAAATTGTTATCATTTCAGGCATACGTCTTACTTCAATTTCATCAGCAAATATGAAATCACAAGCAGTGGGTACGATAAAATTTTAATTTGTACAATAATTTGAAAATAGTGAAATAAAACATTATCTGGATATTACGTAAAAGTGTCCTTGTATGTAAAACAATAAAATTATAAAACATTTTAAAACAGACTTAAATAGACGTCCAACTGATAGCTTGGGTTAGAATTTTTTAACGAGTGGGTCCAAACAATAATCCGCGTCTCCAAAGCGGAACCATGATCTCCACATTACCAACTCGAGAAGACTGCGAGTCTCAATACAAGACAGTGTAGTCGGGCTTTTAGTACCTACTGGTAGACCAGATGTCGTGACGAGTACCAAAAAGAGCTATTTTTAACTAATTTGTTTTATATTGACAAACTCCAATTTATCAAAGTTTCTTTTATATACAGGTTGTAACCGAAAGGTGCAGTGGAAATTCAAGGTCGTAGAGAGTTACTATCAAATAGTAGGTAAATTGGCATTGATTTTTGTTGAAAATTATGACAATTAAATTAATTTCATTTTATAAAATTACGAAAATACATAGATATTAAAATCGTGCTTTTACATCACTAACCTCACACAATTACTTACTTTGAAGTTAGTCGAAAATGGCGGAAAAATAAAATATTCAATTTATTTTTATTTAAAAATGGTAGACTATTATAGAATTGGAAACAGTTTTGTTTTTGATTAATATTATATATTAGCGTGATGGAGTACGCAGCCCCTATATGGTCTCCGTCTTATGTGACTCATATAGCCCAGTTAGAATCCGTGCAGCGTTGTTTCACACGTAGATTGCACTACCGCCTCAAAAGGGAAGATGGTTACTTCGACAGACTTAACTTCTATCAGCTAGATTCTCTCGAAGTTAGACGTCTGTTGTCTGACATGAAGTTTCTATATGACGTGGTTAACTCCGTATTGGATTGTCCTGAATTAACGGCTTGCATTGGTCTGTGTGCCTGTCCAAAACGCACGAGGCATATGCACTTCTTGTGTACGACCTTAGCCCGTTCGAATTACGCAAAACACTCTGTTTTGCAAAGAATAGTGCGCACTTATGAGGATAGATTTAGAGACATCTTCCATTTAAACCGCACTCAATTTCTAAACATATTGAAGGATCACCCCCAGTTTAGAAGGCAATAATTATCAAACAAACAGAGCACAGACACACACACACACACACACACACACAAACACACACAACACTAAAACATACTTACACTTACACCTTTATAATTTATATAATAATAATGTTATATTTGTATGTAATAATTTAATAATATGTAGATTACCATTAATTTAAGAACTTAATGTAAATTTTCAACATGTTTGTTTTTCGATTAGGCTATAGATTAACGCTAGATAAAGTAACGCTATAATTAAAATGTAATATGACAAACTTTGTTATTGGCTATATACGTATATTATTATGATTGTAAACGAAAATGAAAAAGCTGTAAAGTTTGCATATAAACAAATAAATAATAAAAAGAAATGGATATTGACGTTTTCGGTCATTCCGTCATTGATATCCCGTGTAGTTCTGTCATATCTTGTATTCAACAATTTCGGAATAATCGTAGTAATGGCATTTCTAAGTAATTCAGAATATTATGAAATGGTGCTGCGCGTCGGAGCAGCGGACGGAAGCTTAGACCAAGCCCGCGAGCTCTACCATGAGAGATTTATCAATGGTAGACCAGAAGCTGAACGCCGTTGACTTCCTTCGAGAGCCTGCTTATGCGGAATATGGTTTTGAGGCTTCACACTACGGGCTCATACCGGGGTGATAGACCAGAAGTGATAGACCAGAAGTGCGCCCAAGTGTTCGTGATCCTGACACGGAAGAGGCGGTGTTCGATCATTTCGAAAATAATCCGCCGACCAGCACTCGCCAAACAGCTGCAGCTCTTGGGATTACAAACCATAATACAAAACAAATAAAAAAAAAGTATGTCAGAAGCACGTTTTTCATAGTGTGTTTTTGTGATTTATTTACTTTGAATTATTATTTTTTTCTTTGTGAATCTTTTTTTTTTAAATACATACTAAAAAGGTATATTAGTGAGAAGCGATATTATAAAGGGTTGTGTATACTCTGATCGTGCATTGGTAGTGGAAACTGATAATCGTCAATTTGTATACTTTGATTACGGTTTAATTTTTGTTACTTTGAAACAATTAACAAAAAAAGACGTATTAAAGAATTTAAAGTAATCATTGAAGTTATAATACGTATTTGTTTACATCATGAATAAATTACAATTTTTATTAATAATTATGCTAAAATGTTTACAAATTTGTAACAAAATCTCTAATAAGCAAATTTTTTTAATGAGATTAAAATAATTTGTTCAATTTGTTATTTTCTTTGTAAATTATTCCAAAGCAAAGAAATGAAAACGTATTGAAAAATAATGTGATTTGTTGGGAAACTGCTTGAAATATTTTTTCAATTGAATATAATCCCGCGATCCGTTACGACAGATCGTACGGCAAGTGAAACCGACATCGTGATTAAAGTATACATACACATTGTAAGTTATCAGTGTCTACTACCAACCGATCACGCGATCAGAGTGTACGTACCTCTATAAAGTACGTATCTAATAATAGCAGCATTGTTAATTAAGAAAATCACTAAATTGTGATCAATTAGATATCATTGAGTTAGGCCGGTGATACAATTTTGTGAGACAGTGAAATTTTGATTAAGATTTGTTTTCTAGTGTAAGTACAAACTTTTTTGTTACAAAACCATAATCAATGGGATATTAACATTGACTTACAATTATATGGACGTCGGGTCCGCGCTAAAAAGTGTCCGCACTGGTAAGGCGCTAAAATCGTATACAGAGCGCTATCTCCGCTTTAGTCTTCATTTGTTCTACTGACAGCGCGATACTGCGATGACATTACTAATTTAAATTTCGAATAGGTTGACTTGGGACATTTTTTTCGTGGTTTTTGTATTAGACCCGTCGTCCATTTATTTGTAAGTCAATGGATATTAAGTAAAATTCTGACAATGACATTGTCAAATTTTGCAAAATAAACTAAATATCCGTACATTTAGAAGAATGAATTTTAGCACAATCTTATAATTCCACTGATTTTAAGTACGAATAAAGTAAAAACTAGTGCTATATAAATAACGAGTCATTCCTAGCACCTTTCATAGTTTATGCTGTTAAACATCGATTGCATCCTAAGCTGCATTTCACAATGATTCTATGAAATCGGATTAAAATCTGTTCTTTGTGTTTTCAACCGTAAAATGCGCTATAATATTTGTGAGATGTGCTCAGAAGTAGAACTTTTGTAAGTAAATAAATAACAAAATCTATTACGTCACTTATTTTCGACAACTTTAAAGCTAGTGGTTGTGTGAAGTAAGGGATGTTCGAGCTCGATTTTAATGTCGATAACGACGAATAATTATCGTAATTTATTTAAAATGAAATTAATTTAATTAGACAAAATATTCAACAAAAATATCAATGCCAATTTGCTATTTGAAAGTAACTCTCTACGTTCTTGTATTTCCACTGCACCCTTCGGTTACACACTGTATATAATTTCTATACTCTAGCCAATCAATTCAAGTCCATTTTATTATTATTATATTACCTAAAAATTACATAAAAATGACTAGTAATTAATTATTTGTAAAATTGTGTCATCCTTAGTGACTTTTTGATTTGAAGGGAGAAATTGCAAACATTCGAGTTCTGGTGATAATTCAAATTCAGAATTGGAAATAGATGCTGGATGATATAATACGTGGCAAATTAATATCAAATAAAATCTCACAATTTTGTTTCTTTTCATCTACCATTACCTACAATGTAGCAGTAAATATTAACAGGATGCAAACGTTTATTTCTATTCCTAAATCATACGTATCGATAGGTATTTTGTAAAATTTTTAATAATTGGCTAGGTAAATATTACTTCTACATAACCCAATTACCTGCTTAACTATTTAATTTCCAATTGCCGTGGGTAGAGAAAAAAATGTTCCTTTCCTATGCCATCATTGGTAGCCTAGAAATGTTTTGTTATTAAACATTCTACATCGAATTTGGCTAGAGTATAGTTATAACAACCAAGTCAACTAGATAGCGCTTATTTCACAGATTTTTATGGATACTGCCGGCTATTTGTTTAGGATTAACGCCATCTACCCCTATTGGCAAGAGGTAGTTTACAAATTAGTTTGTAACACACAATGCCATATATTGATACACATATCATTTGGGGATTGCTGTTGCTCGCTTCCGTAGCTTTACCCTCGAGACCCTGGGTGACCCCTGGGTGGTGCTAAAGAGCAACAACTACTGGTGGTAGGCTTCGGCCGTCCGTGGCTGGTCACCACCCTCCCGACGTAGTCCAGTCGCCAAATGGTTGTCACCGTGTTCCGACTCGTGTTCGGGAGTTGCCATTAGGTAGTCTTAGGTGCGTCTGACGACGAGTTGTAGCTGCTTGTACTGCCACACTGAGCATTCGGTTCTGGAGGTTAGTGCGATGCACAGCTGGCCGACCGTCGTGGGAAGTTGATGGCCCAAGTAGCGGGAACGCCACCCGTGAAATGCTGCCCAGCCACTCAATGAAAAATTTCGGAATGCTCTCCCTTGCCGGTTAGCGACCGGAGGGGAGACCCAGGTGGCCAACTCCGGGGGGGGAATGGGGTGGTTCGGGCGTCACCGCGGTTTCTTCCAAACCGATTGTACCCTCGTGTGGCAGTGTGAGCTTTGCTGCCTGGTTAAACACGACGCAGTGCCTCGTTCACTTGCCTTCCTCCTGTCTATTCACTTCACTAAAACAATAAAATGAAAAACAGAAACGGTAATAAGTTTACACAGCGGTTGCAAGTCCTCCCACTAAAAGTGCACCTCACTAATATCCGAGGTTTGCACTCAAATCTCGATTCGGTCCACCGTCATCTTGAAACCGATAAACCGCAGCTGCTGTTCCTCACCGAGACGCAGATCAGATGTCCGACTGACACGGCGTACCTCAGCTACCCCGGGTATACTCTGGAGCATAGGTTTCTACCCCGTGTAGGTGTCAGTGTGTACGTTCGTGATGACATATTGTGTCAAACGTCTCAAGAACGTACCACCTACCTTACCTCAGGCTGGCTGCGCTACGGCGCCAGTTCGCATACGCCAAAAAGAGGTATTTAGAACTCTCCGGAATCTTGACATGAATAAAACTAGCGGGCCAGATGGAATTCCAGTGGTAGTCCTACGTAACTGTGCGCCTGAGTTGTTCCTGTTCTCACACGCCTGTATCGCCTCTTGCAACTTGCAAACGTGCAACCTGTGCCCAAAGAGGGAAATAGAGCTGACCCTGCTATCAACTTAACTATCGACCTATCTCAGTCACTTCCATAATCTGCAAGACTATGGAACGTATACTCAACAACCGTCTCCTGTCATTCCTTTAAGACAATGACCTCCTCAGTGATCGCCAGTAAGGATTCCGTCGAGGGTGATCTACCGAGGATCTTCTTGTGTATGCCTGTCACATATGGAGCGAGGCTATAGAAAAGCGAGGCGAAGCACTTGCAGTGTCTTTGGACATTTCTAAAGCCTTTGACAGGGTCTGGCACGCAAGCCTTTTAAGCAAGCTTCCATGTTATGGGCTTCCCACTGACCTTTGCAATTGGATCTCGGATTTCTTGAGTGAACGTTCCATTCGAGTGGTCTTAGAAGGCTACTCTTCCGAGCATATGGCGATAGATAGAGTTCCTCAGGGTTCCGTACTGTCTGCAACTCACTTTCTGCTGCATATCAATAATATGTTAATTCCAGGTACCTTTGCGCATGCTGATGACAGCACAGTTGTAGACAGGTACTTGACCAATGCAAAGGTCAGTGGAGAGGAAATCCAGTCTTGTCGAGAGGCCATGGTTAGCCGTTTAGATTTGACGCTCAAGGCAATCTCTGATTGGGGCGATGCCAATCTTGTCAAATTTAACGCTACCAAAACGCAGACTTGTCTACTCTCCACTAAACGGAGTCACTTTGAGCTGACTCCGACTTTTCGTGATATATCCATACCGATAGCCGTCCGACTCCAGCTATTTGGAATGGACCTGTCGTCCAATGTGAACTTCGGCAGATACATTGAATCTATGGCCAAAAATGCAGCCAAGAAGCTTGGCATCCTTTCCAAGGTGAGGCGTTACTTCACACCGGAACAGTTACTTCAGTTGTACCAAAAACAAATCCAGTCGTGTATGGAGTACTGTTGCCACCTTTGGAATAGCTCTGCTACATATCAACTGGCCACCTCGGATTCAATTGACAAGCGTGCCAAGAGGCTTATAGGTGACTCGGAATTAGTAGAGGCGAAGCTGCAGAGCCTTGAACACTGCCGTAAAGTTGCCTGCGTATCGGTATTTTACAGGATATATCACGGAGAGTGTGCGATGGAATTACACGATTTAATTCCGCCTTCCCCTTTCCATCATCGGGGGACTAGGCGTAGGCTTGGCTTCCAACCCTCTGTTGTGGATATTCCAAAGATTCGCACGAAGCGTTACGCTTCCACATTTATGTGACGAACGGCTATGGAGTGGAATTCCCTGCCTGCAGACTAGTTCCCTGAACGTTATAACTTGGACCTTTTCAAGGCGAGAGTGAATAGGCATTATCTAGGTGTACAGGCTCCATCGTCGACTTCATCATCACTTTCCATCAGATGAGATGGAGGTCAAATGTACACTTACATTAGAATAATAAAAAAAAAATATTTGTCAAAGTTTAAAAAATAGATTTAGCACATTATCAATATTTGAATAATATTACGAGGGAAAAAAAATTACAACTTGTATTTGATATTAATGATGATATCCACGGCCATTTACATAATTTAAACTACTCTCAGGCTATCGATTTTTCAGAATCACGATCTTTGTTTAGTATGGAGATTAGCAGGCCGCTTGACTTATTGGTCTATGGCATCGAGTATATAAACAGAAATAGAGACGAAATAAGGGCCATCCATCCTTGGCAAGTAATCAGGCAAATGGGCCTTATATCACTTTTAAATATCAACTCTAGTTTGCGCTGAAATCACAAATTAGAAAGCTGAAATAGTACAACGCCAACAACTGACCTGTGTGTTCGTCTCCGTATGTTCCAAAAATATTCTGTATTTATTGTGATAAAGATAAATATCTCTAATAATGAGGGCTGTTGCATTCGATGGTGTGGGAAAAATAGCATTACAAAATAAACGAAATCACATTTCATCGGTAATCAAATATTAAATGATGTATTTTTTTCAAATCTTAAGTTAAACTGGTCGATTTGAAGTGAAACAATTGGCGACACCCGTCAATTGTTTCGAATTTGGGCTGGTCGATCGGAGCGCAATTGTCACCGTAATAATTTGGCAGAATAATTTTCAAACAATGACATTTCGTCTCTATTTGTGGCTATATACTCGATGAGTCGATGACATTACAAAGTTAGATTTTCGAACCTTACGTTCCAAGCAGTATTTTATTGGTTTCCTGCACTGTATGGGTATAGGTATAGTAATATGCTCACTGTGATCAGTATTCCTTCAATATTTTATTTTGGGCATGGTACCGTACAGATCGCTTGAGTTCAGGCGAAAACTGGCGTTTCTAAAATATATTTTTAACCTAATAAGAGGATATATAATTAATCCTCCTCTATTAGCTCAAATTCCCTTTTTGTATCCCGCCAATCTCACGTTACGTCCTTCGTCTCAATGCGGAAAAATATTTTCATTTCCTATGTGTAACAATCGCGAAAACCTAAGAACTATTATAGTCTGTCTGAATTTTAATAATTTGTTCAATATTTATTTTTTAGGTACACCAGCATTTGTCCGCACTTTTACGTATACAGAGTCTACATCAACAAGTGGTTTAAAATTATCCGTGGATACTGGTACTTATTTCATGTTTTTTACCTTTGAATATTTTAATAAAGCAGTTTTATAGTTATACATTAAATTTTCCGTAATTACGTGCTTTGCTGTGTGATTTAAGGTATATCTAACAACAATTTAATTGAAAAGAAATCAATTTGTGCAGAAACTAGCACGCTACTGCTTACTGACAATAAAGGTGAGTAGACCGAAATTACTAAACTTATTTTAATTTACGCAATACAGTAGTTCGTTTAGAAGCACATAATAATAAATTATATGCATTTTTAAATTTAGAAGTAAGTGACGTAATCGCATAGACCATGTGTTACAGGTGACGAACCCGTTAGAACAAATGGGAAACTTATTTCTATGTCTTCATCGCGAAATCATGGCGGCCATAGAGCGTACTGCACTCTGAGCTTTGAAAAAGCTAATCAGATGAAAGGTGCTGATCGTTCTTCAAAAACTTCCTTTCTTTACGAATTGCCGAAAAATATTTAATTTTTGGTTTTTATCAGACCGGTATCCGAAATACACTGTGATCGGAATCAACACGGAAATGCAGAAAGATTCACAATCATTCGGACAAACCACATCATTTACCGTATTACCGGGATTGAATAAAAATTCCACTAACAAATTTGAATCTTCATTTGCTGTGCAGAACACCATGGACGTCTACGCACAATATGCACAGAAGTTTATACGCGGAGGTTATTTAAACTTCATTTGTATTTATCTATGCTTCGGGGAAGAATAGATAAATAGTATTATTATATTGTAGTTGGGTCTGATTTTCATGCTCTTTTCAATTGACGACATCGCCTTTTTTACGTTAATATATATGTAAATGTGTAAGTAAAAAAATACGAACTAAAACATTTATGATTTCTTTGTTTATCATTCATCTTAGGGCGCTCCTTCACTGCGAGCATTCGCTTGTAATGAAACAGTGCCTTTGAGTGCCTGTGAGTGCCTTTGAGTGTCAACAAGTACCTTTGAGTGTGAGCGAGTGCCTTTGAGTGCTTTTAAGTATCTTTGAATGCTTTTGAATGCCTGTGAGTGCCTTTGTGTGCCTTTGAGTGCCTTGAATGCCTTTGAGAGTCCGCTAGTACCTTTGAGTACCTGCGATTGCCAGTCAAAGGCACTCGAAGGTACTCAAAAACATTCAAAGGCACTCAAAGGCTCAAGCAGTCACTCAAAGGCACTCGAAGGCACCCGAAGGCACTCAAAGGCACTCGCTGACTCTCAAAGACACTCAAGGCACTCGCTGACACTCAAATTCACTCAAAAGACTCACGGGCACTCAAAGGCACTCCATGGCACTGAAAGACACTCAATGACACTCAAAGGCACTCGCAATCACTCAAAGGCACTCGCTGACACTCATAGACACTCGCAAGTACTCAAAAGCACTCAAAAGGCAGTCAAAAGGACTCGAGGGCACTCAAGGCACTCGCTGAAACTAAAAGGCACTCGCAAGCACTTAAAGGCACTCAAAAAGACTCGCGGGCACTCAAAGGCACTCAAAGATACTCAAAGGCACTCAATGGCACTCAAAGATACTCAAAGGCACTCAATGGCACTGAAAGACACTCAATGGCACTGAAAGACACTCAATGGCACTCAAAGGCACTCGCTGGCACTCAAAGGCATTCGCGAGCTCAAGGGGGGTACTCGCAGGTACTCGTGGGCTCTCGCGGGCACTCAATGCCTGCACTCGGGGGCAAGCGCATGCACACTAGCTACCTCGCACATTTCTGGTGGAATCGCAGCCCAATCGAATCTTGAATGTTACATTACAGGCGAATGCTCGCCGGTGAGGGAGATAGTTTGTAATGTAATGCTCGAAAACGAATCTTGAATGTTATATTACAGGCGAATACTCGCCGGTGAGGGAGGTAGTTTGTAATGTAATGCTCGAAAACGAATCTTGAATGTTACATTACAAGTGAATGTTCGCGGTGAGGGAGCGCCCTTAGGTTGGCTTTTACACCTTTTCTACTCCGAAGTATAAATATGTACATCACGTTGTGAGGATTGATAAAAACTCTTAGGTAATTAAATTTCAGAACACAACTGTAGCACAATTTTTTCGGCGAATACAGACACAATCTATAGCTCAACCACCGAAACCGATACAAGTTACACGGTACGGTCTTCCAGAAATGACAATTGTCTTTCCATATCTGAAGCAACCTTTAATTTTGCTAAGAGAACCAAGGTAGATACAACCAGTCAATATAATTACGGGAGTGTGAAGAAAATTGATGTTGCTAATCAATGTTCCTCCTACAAGGTGCAAAAAGTTGATATCATGTGTCAGTGTAACGAAAATCAAGGACAGTTTATAGACTTTACCCAGTACATCGGCTTCCAAGACCAAGTAAATAATATAAAAATACATAGCGTTCACCCCGAATACAAAGCAGAATTATACAGTGATCGCTATGGACAGAATAACAGATCTACCAGCAATCACTATAAAAATCGTCAAAATATAATAAGTGAAAATAATGCAAATCCTTACATACTTTATAACACACACCTTAAAGGGCGTTATGATTTAAGCGGCGGGTGCCGTAGTCGGTACAGTAGACGACGTGAACAAAAAGTTGATAATACTAACCAATACAGTGAAAACAACAAGGATAAATTGGAAAATACTAAGAAATATTGTGACCGCCAAGAGCAGATGATTAGAAGCTCCCATTACCAGAAAGGATGTAGCCGACAAAAAGCAAACACTAGCCTCTACCGTTACTACGTTTGCCGAGATCACGCCAAATATAAATGTGATTACAGGAATGCGGCTGAATCTGGTAAAACAGTTATTCAATTGAATAGATTTAAAATATGAAGTAGGTACAATAATTGCAACATTTTGATTTCAGTGTTGAAACGAAGAAGTGTATGCACAATTACAAGTCAAAAAACCTTGGTTTCGACTGCATTGTCAAAGATTGTCATTGCTATTCCAACTATATATAAGGGATCTCGAAAACTGAAATTGGACACACAAAGTAATAATTTGTAAGCTTTTCATTGGGTAAATTAAACTGGCTACTTACTGTTAACGGGATAAATGTTAATTTTAACACTGATGAATGGTGAATTGACCGTTGATTGTACAATTATGCCGAATCAAAAGAAGCGCTTGTTTATACCTCGTCAATCCATGCAACTATTACAAGTATTCGACTTTATCTTTCAGTCGTATCATCGGAAACAGCGTCAATAAGCACCGAGACGAATCCTACGACCCTGTTACAGGATAACCCGCTACCTTTGCTCGGGACTAAAAGCATTGTCGACGTCAACATACAATACAGTACGCACCGTTTCCCTGGTAAAGTTTTCTTTTTCACAAAACTTATAGCTAGCTTACATGTGAAAATAAATAATGATTATACTACAGGTAAGGTACAAGACAAGCTTAAATACTAGAACGTAAAACTAGGATTATATGACGGGCTTCAGAAACCTATTCAGCTAAGCGACAGGTCTGTAGTGATTAAATTAGCGACATAGGAGGTTGATGTAAAGTTTATGTAAATAATTGAAACAAGCTCATTAACATGTAGCGCCCTACTACAAAGAACGAAATACGAACGAACGAAATATCGAGTATATAACCAGAAATAGAGACGAAATGTCATTTAATTTGTTTGAAAACTATTCTGCCAAATCATTACAGTGACAATTGCGCTCCGATCGGCCAGCCCGAATTCGAAACAATTGACGGGTGTCGTCAATTGTTTCATTTCAAATCGACCAGTTTAAATTAAGCTTTAAAAAATACATAATTTAATATTTAACGACTTGATTCCGTTTGTTTTGTAATTAGATGTTTTGCTGTTTTTCCCACGCCACCGAATGGAACAGCTCCCCATTATTATAGATATTATCTTTATTATAAATACAGAATATTTTTGGAATATACGGAGACGTACACGCAGTTCAGTTATTAACGCTGTACTATTTCAGGTTTATAATTTGTCATTTATCATATTTAAAAGTGATATAAGGCCCATTTGCCTGTTGATTTGGTCGTTATTTCGTCTCTATTTTTGATTATATATATAATAGATGTCATAAAATCAATGATAGCTGAAAGGTATTATTTGGTTATCATTTTAAAAGACTTAGTGGCGACATCAGAGAGACCGGTTACCCATGACAATATCTTAAGTAACGACCGGCTTACTGCAGGCCATTGGAAAGTATTTTTATTGGAATAATAAATACAATAAAAATTAAACGTGGAAAAGCCATTACAAATGAATAATTCCACTCCTGACTCTTCAATGCTTGTGCTTCAGTTATCGCCGCCTTGACGGCCATCGTGAAATTCGCGAAGGATGCGTAGTGTGCTTTCAGCGCCAACATCTTTACAATACAATCAGGTTTTTGTAATATTACTACAGAAACTTTGGACCACAGACATATATCTAAATAGACGCCGCAAGTGTACCTACTACGCGTGTCTAATGTAAGCTATAAACACTTAGATGGCGCTGCTATGCTTCAGAACATGGCCGGCCGTTATCGAAAAATGCCTAATTGTGTCAATAGAAACTGCAAAAACACAGTAGCTGGGAAAAGATAAATGAACAGGGACGTTTCCTTCCACAGATATGTGACTTTGTAACCAGAACATGCATAATTTATTTTAAAATCAATTATTTGCTTAGTTGGTACAGCGTCTAGCACGGTATGCTAGAAGACGTCGGTTCGAATCCGGCCGGGTCGAAGGATATTTTTCTGAGTGTTCGATCTTTGTATTAATAATTATAACAAACTAGTGGAGCAATTTCACAAACAATAATTGAATATCAATTCAATAAAACTTTAAAATACAATGAATAACGTCATCTCTCACCAGAACTGTAATTATAAAGTATATACGGTAGCTGTAAAGGTACTAACTAAGTGATAAATCTTTCATAGATTTATGATAGATGGCGCTACGACTAAAAAGTCGTTGAAAAACCAAATACAAAGACACGACGCAAGCACATAGAAAATTTCGTGAGGTCCGCTGGTTCGTGCCGTGGCTTAGTTGGCATAGCGTCTGGCACGGTATGCTAGAAGACGTCGGTTCGAATCCGGCCGGATCGAAGAAATTTTTTCTGAGTGTTCGATTTTTGTATTAATAATTATAACACACTAGTGGAGTAATTTCACAAAAAGTAATTGAATATCAATTCAATAAAAATTTAAAATACAGTGTATAGCGACATCTCTCGCCAGGCCTGGTAGCTGTAAAGGTACTAACTGGGTGATAAATTTTTCATAGATTTATCATAGATGGCGCTACGACTAAAAAGTCGTTGAAAAACCAAATACAAAGACACGACGCAAGCACATAGAAAAATTCGTAAGGTCCGCTGGTTCGTTCCGTGCTTAGTTGGTATAGCGTCTAGCACGGTAAGCTATAAGACGTCGGTTCGAATCCGGCCGGATCGAAGGAATTGTTTCACTTGTTGTTGTTACAATTATTTTCATTTTGAATGAATTTTGAAGAAAACGAATAATAATGCAAACGAGTGTGTCGTATGTAGATAAATGACCATGACCATGAATATCGAACGAGCAATACTTTTGTATAATGCATTGTTGTACTGCCGCTTCATGTTTTTGGTAAAATTTTACGATTAATAACGTTCACTTGATGCAACACAGTTCACGATTCTTATCGATTTAGGAGACAAAGGAATGATAATTGTTAAGACATTAGAGAAATATTCTATAAAGTTGATTGCTTGTTTTTTAATTTTCCGGAGCAACTTTTTTTTCAAAACACGTATTAATAAAAGACTAAGTTTATCTTATTCTGGTATTATTTTACTGTATTAATGTTTCACGGCTTCTTATAATCAACAAATCGACTCATCCGAAGAAAAAGATCTATGTGCAAGACTACTTGTACTCAGGACAGGACTAGTACTTTTCGTTCGTTTTTCTTCGCTGTGTATGTCCAGATCGTCTGTTGTTTGATTTTATATTTCCGAAACGAAATAAGGTACATAAATTCTCAAAACTCTTTTACATGGGCCTTAGTTTGAATAACGAAATTATTCTCGTAATGTACCTATGCTCTTTTCGCTACATAATCACAACGGACTCTGTTCTTTAGATGAGTCGAAATACTTGAAAAATATTTATTATTAATACGTGCTGCGTCCGCGTCTTGGATTTAATCAATCGCTTTAATGCCGAAGGAGGTTTCCCGTCACGAAATAGCGCTTGTGACGTCATCGAAGGTACAAAACGTGGTACGCTTGGTTTTCATATAGAGCGCGGTACTTGCGATGACTATTTGGATATGTGTCGATCATTATAAAAGTGGTGTAAGTCCATATTTTAAAACACATTTTTTTGCTTAAAAGTATCACATTTGGACTTATCTTTCATTATAAAAGTGAACCAACTCCAATAATTGCACCATCATCTCATAGATGGAATCACTAGTTTACTCGGAGGACTAAAATTACTACACGTTAATTTGCTAAAAGCTCATTATTTCATAATTTAATTACAAGGACATAATTCACTTTTACAATGAACGACATATATATGTCTGTGCTTTGGACCCAAAAGAATCTAATGCAGTGTTCATGCCAGTGCGCTTTCATGTCCATCTTGCGTCTTCCTCTGGCGCATGCGTGAAGTGTTGAGTTATCAACTTGGGTTATCCAAGAAGTAGCACATGCGCTAAATTGGTTGGAAAACAGTGCAAGCCCCTAGTGCACGCCGATCCGGCGTGTTCACGTGCAACAGCCCATGCGTTTTACCAGACAAAATGGCGGAATATGTTGAAACATTTATACTAATGGTGTGAACATAGAACTGCGTGCACCTTATGGTAATCAATATTGTATACGAAAGTTGAAGGCTCGAGACACACATGAAGCACACTAGTGTGGACATAGCTTCTACTCCTTGACGGTCTCAGTGGTCGAGTGGCTTGCATACCGGTTTTCATGGTGTCGCCATCTTTGGGATCCCGGGTTCGATCCCCGGCCGGGTCAGTGTAGAAAACTAACTTTTCTATATAGTCTCGAGTCTGGGTGTTTGTGGTACCGTCGTTGTTTCCAATATCTATAACACAAGTGCTTTAGCTACTTACTTTGGGATCAGACCTACTTATATGATGTTGTCTAATACACGATAATTAATACTTGGTGTTGCTTATCATCGATCGTAAAAGTTCGTAGTAGATACCCTGCCGAGCCGAAGTTCGGTTTCTCGGTTTCAGATTACTTATCGTGCCATGTTTCGTAAGAGACGTAGGTCGGCAGGTTTTTATAGGCTGAATATGAATTGTACTTTGGTAACGATATTGTAATGTCTATGTTAGTAACATTTTATCGTACTCTAGTTAACGCGGGTTCATTAAGAGTGTATACAACCTCAAATGGCTTTGGTTGATTTTGCATAACAGTGAAAATGTTGAATCAATCACTTATATAGTGAAATTGAGAATATACACTGATTACTATATGATGTGAAAGCATGATTTCTAAAAATTTTTGGATATTTCCATTGACTTACAAATAAATGGACGACGGGTCTAATACAAAAACCACGAAAAAAATGTCCCAAGTCAACCTATTCGAAATTTAAATTGTAATGTCATCGCAGTATCGCGCTGTCAGTAGAACAAATGAAGACTAAAGCAGAGTGTCGCGCTCTGTATACGATTTTAGCGCCTTACAAGTGCGGACACTTTTTAGCGCGGACCCGACGTCCATATAATTGTAAGTCAATGGATATTTCTATAAAAACACGAACTGAAATTTGAAATTTTACAAGATAACCACTATATTCAATAGCTACTTTACATATACCATTGATTTTTTTTTATATCAACTGCACTAATTAGAACACGTATACTATATGATATATATTTTTCAAATTTCTTTATTTTTGTTTGTAAAAAAATAAATTCTGAAATAATTCAACACGGCAAAATTTTTAATTCGAGCTGAGGTAGTATCTACTCTTAATACCGTAGTGTAATAAGACAAGTATGGTAACTCCATACAAATTAGCAGCAAGGTTTGTTGTGTATCGCATATTAATAAAAGGCGCGTATGACGACCAACGTTACGCAACGCGAATGCATCGTCAGATTATGGGAATGTGTACGTGCGTACACGTTTCGCGGGCGCGCACACATACAAGTTACGCTGCTACGTTATATTATACAATCACTGACCTCCAACAAATGGACGACTGCTCTAATACAAAAAGCACAAAAATGTCCTGTTAACCTGTATAAACGCATTGACATGTAAAGAAATATAAAGAAACTGAAACATTTAATTTAAATTGTAACACCAATTTTGTTTGCAACAATATACAGACCCAAAAATTCACCATAATCGAAGTCAAGTCTACTGGAAACTTAACAAAATACACCATATTTTAGTTTCTAGTGAAAAAGTACTTGAACACAAGAATAATGGTCAATATTAATTATTTCATTTTACTTGATTAATTTTACAATTTTTTAAAGCGACGTCGAATGCTGTAAAGTCATTACAGCGATCTATGACAATAACCCTTAGGAGAATTTCGACGACTCAGTAACTGGACCCGTGGCTCAGGTGGTTAGAGCAATGCTACGGTGCAGCATGGACGTGGGTTCCCATCCCACCGGGTCGACGAAATTTTTCTGTGTGTTCGATCTTTAATTTTTACAAGTTTTTATTATACAATACGGCATGATTCACAGGCACGCTGTCAGTCGACCAAACGAAGACTGACGCGTGACTGATGCTCTATTTGTGATTTGATTTAATGCCCTATAGCTTCTTACACTTTTTAGCGCAGACCCGACGTCCATTTATTGGTAAATCAATGTATACTATGTTAATACCTTGCATCTAGATGGCACGTATACCAGTCGGTCGGCAACGGGTAATCAAAGCGAGTTGATGACTGTATTCACGCTGTGCTCTTCTGTAAGAGAAGTAGCTGTTCAAGAACCCAGCGATCAGAGTGACAAATCTGTTATGCTAGGTACGAATCTACTTAAATATACCTACCCTTTTATCGAACTAGAATGTAGAAAGCTTAGTAATAATATATAATGATGGTTCTGACAGACACACAGTTAATATCGTTAATGAAACCAAAGTCAACATCTTGCCTGCCGTTTGTGATGTTACCTGAGCGCCCTTTTTCGCCACCGATGCGTAAACCAGCTCAGCAAGAAACCCTGCGCCAATCAATGCTCCCAGAAGATGATCAGACAACAAATCGTATTCGACGACACCCTCTTGGCAATCAGATATTGTGTGGAAACTGCGACTCCATCTGCCCAATACTAGTCTCTCATGAAACCAACACAGAAATAAGACGTCTCGTCAATCGTTCGGTTGGTGATACAAGTGAGTAACCTCTACAAAGATTTATTGATAACGCACACATTCATACCCTAAATCTAAACCTAAAAGATAGATTTATTTGGAACAGGGAATCGAACTGATTCTAAAATTTGCGTGTTAGAGCGGGTCAGTTGCTGTATAAGCACTTTCCCATCGTCGTCGTCGCCACTCTTAAGGTGGTTTTCCACCGAAGAGGCGAGGTGAGATGAGGCAAGACGAGGAATGAAATTTGGATTTCAATTCACTCTTAGCCCAACTTCGGTGGAAATCCAGATCGCATTGATGAGGATGGACGAGGCGAGAATCGAAATATTTGTTGATGTAATATAAACCTTATAGCTGCGCGAGCTAGCGCAATCTCGCGAGTGCCCACACTTGAGTTGGCTATTAATTTCAATCGCGAGATTGATCTCAAATCGTACGTGCCCCACGTACGATTTGAGATTGAAAAAAGATGGTTTTATCTGATTCTTTTACCGTTAACATATTTAATAATAATAATAATTTACGGGACATATTACTTGTGCCGCGTATTTATCGCTAGATGAACTGAACGGCACTGAATGTTCACTGTCCACAATCGCAGCGTGAGCGAGATCATGATATCGTGCGCGAGCTACTAATGGTAATTTTTGGTGGAAATACGCCAGCGAGATTTCAATTCTGGTCTATCCTCGTCTCGCCTCGCCGGTTCAAAACCACCTTTACAAGACAAGTCCCATGTACATGTCATTACACCAGCATTCTTAACCCTTCAAAACCGGAATGTATAAAGCTTACATTACTGCTTGGCGGTAGAAATAGGTAAGGTGGCTTTACTGCCCTGGACGAACTCTTTCCCAAGGAGCCTTGCTGCGACTAAAAGTTCAGTGATAGGTTTAGCGATAATACAGTGCTGTCAGTGTTGTGTAGAATCAGATGTAACCCATCTTTGCTAAATCTTAAATACCTACGTACCTACCCCACAATCTCTCGGTTTATATTAATAGGCATCGCTAGCTCGTGAGTGCAATGCGTGAGTCATGTCTCAATTGTAGAGTTAGTAACAAAATATGCCGCAATACGGTTCAATATTACACCAACAAATATTTTAATTCCCGTCTTGCACATTCTTGTCAATGCAGACCATTTCCGCCGAAGAAGCGCTAGGAGAGAATTGAAATTTTATAATTTATTAAATACAAATTTCAATCCTCGTCTCGCCGGTGAAAACGACCTTTAGAAGAGGTCACCCTAAGGCACGATAGGTACTGTAGCAGGCTGCATAGATTGTATTTTGAACTGTCGAAATAAATATAGGTTTGAATTTAGAATTAGATAAAAATAAAAGAAAATTGCGGTAAAATGAACATCACGGTTGTTCGAGACAAATTCTTGAGTTGTAAACACGCAGTAAATGTTTATTTATGAATATATTCCTCGTATATTACTTAAAAAGTACCTCTTGCAACGCTAAACCCACGGCTACGCTCCCACAAATGTAGCACAATCTGCTTAGGATTGCACTAATTTATATTTAGAATTGTATAAAGAACAGAAGGTTGTTGTCAAATGAACATCGGGGGAGTTCTAGACAAAATCTTCAAATTGAACGCACGCAGTAAATCTTTATTTATGAATATATTCCTCGTTTCTCATTAAAAAATACCTCTCGCAGCGCTAAACCCAAGGCTACAGTCCCACAAACTTGTTGACAAAAGAAACACATATCTGCTGATTGGAATCCTATAATCGGTTGCCAACTTCCAAGGGGTCCGTGTATAAACACTCATAGCCCCGCACTAGGGAAACCATGTATCGCGGGTGTCATGGGTATGCACACAGACAGCCACAAATTACACCCAAACTCACGAGATAAATAAATGTAAGTCATACAAATATCTCTGCCGGCCCGGGAATCAAACTCGGGCTCTCTGCGTAGCAGTCCAGCATAGTAACCGTTCGGCCACGGGGGCAGTTTCAAGCATAAATACTTCATGTACGTAAAATGTATTTTTTAAATCCTCAAATGTGAATCAATTCATAGCCCCGTTTAAGGCGCGTGTGTAACCACGCGACTTAAACGTGACGCAAACACGGGACTGCATCGATACAAACGCGCGATTGCATCGCTACACTTCTGATTCATAAGCGATTGCATCGATGCAATCGCATTTTTGTATCGATGCAATCGCGCGTTTGTATCGAAGCAATCGCCTTTAGGAGGGAGCATGCCAAAACAGTTTTGACGTTGGCTCCGCCCAAATTTGTGAAACAAATATATGCCTGAAGTTCGCATGACATGCGACAGGAGATGTTGAATTTTGCGCATTAAAAGTACCAAATTCGTTTTAGCGGAATAAATCTAAAACTAAAGGGATTAAAAAAAATCCGTAGTGACAGTTGTCGATCATGCTTAAATATAATTAATTATCTAATTTTTGTCCTAATAACCTGTAGCATTTCAAGGATAAATCGAAAAAACGTGAAAATTACAGGTCATTTCGTGATTTTTATCTATCTAGAAAACTTTATTATTTTATGTTTCTGATTAATGTCTATACTTGAATATATCCTATAGTTACTCATACAATATTTTATTTTTAAGTTTAAATTGGATATACCCCTCTAAAATCAAATCGATAATTAGGAAATTTTCCTCTGCTCCCTCTTAAATTGCAGGTGTAGCAAGGCAATCGCGCGTTTAAACGCGCGTTTGCGTCGCTTCTAAAAGAAGTCGCCTTGTAACCACTCTATAAAAGTTTATATCACTGTTAACTGCACTTCGAAATTTGTTAGAACTTATTATCTACGCATAAAGTCTCTTATTATGTCAAAACTCTATAAGCCGGGTACTCACTAGCGAGCTGTAATAGTTGTATGTTATGTTACCAAAAATCATCATCAGGGTTGTTGTGAATATCATTATCCACATCCGCCGATAATCTGCTGAAATTAAAATATTCACATCCGTATCAGCATCTGCATTCATCGATAACGACATTTATTGCTGACGGTCGAGTTGTGACATGACCTTAAAGGCACGCTGGAATAATCCAGAAACATACTTTTTTTTTATAATATCAAGTGACGGGATATCAAGCCATGCGCTTGATGGTAAGCTACACGCCTTTCCATAACAGTTGCAGTGCCACTCAGAGCTTTAAATCGGAAAGATCTAAGGGGCACTGCCATTGCGCCCGTCACCCTGAGACATAAGTTGACGAGTACCTTGTGCCTGTAATTTCACCAGCACCCCTATCCTTCAAAACCGGAACACAGTAACGCTGACATTACGGCTTGGCGGCAGAAATAGTAAGGTGGCAGTACTTCTCTGGACGAACTCTTTCACAAGGAGCTCTACTGCTACTAATCTAAGGGTCGTATTCCAGAACTCTACTCAATACTGAAGTCAGGGCTTGAGTATTGCAGTGAGCACTGAAAATCATACTCAAGTCGTTGCCATTAGTGTCGTATTTCCAGTGCTTGAAATCATACTCAAGTCTGCTCAAATCCTGACTTGAGCATTGAGTATAGTTCTGGAATACGACCCATAGACTATCCAAGCGAAAAAAGCAGCTCAGCTGTTGTTTTCAAAATATAAAATTCCAGAAAGATTATGCTAAGCAGATTGATTGTTTTCATGCAGATTACATGTCACAAAATTATTGAAATAATATTTTATTATTAGATTCAGTGAAAATGTACATTTTTCGAATTTTTCCCGTTTCTTTTAAATATTTGAAATCCGCATGAGCATTAGCATCCGCTGTGTAACAACCGTCGAGTATATAACCAGAAATAGAGATGAATTTGAAAACTATTCTGCCATATCATTACGGTGATAATGGCTTTCCGATTGGCCAGCCCGAATTCGAAACAATTGACGGTTGTCGTCAATTGTTTCACTTCAAATCGACCAGTTTAAATTTACCTTTGCTATAATGGACGAAAATTAAAAAATTACATATTTAATATAATAATATAATTATACCCATGTTATGTGTTTCTTTTATTTTGTAATTAGATGTTTTGCTGTTTTCGCAAGTCACCGAATGGAACAGCACTCCATAGTTAGAGATTTATCTTTATTATAATAAATACAACATATTTTTGCAATATACGGAGAAGTAGACACAGGTCAGTTGTTGGCGCTGTACTATTTCAGCTTTCTAATTTGTGATTTCAGCGCAAACGAGAGTTAATATTTAAAAATGTTATAAGGCCCATTTGCCTAATGAGTTGCCAGAGATGGCCCTTATTTTGGTCTCCATTTCTGGTTATATACCGGTGGCAAAAACCTTGATGTGTAAGTGGTTCGCGAGCTTGTCGCGTGCGGAAAGCGTGCGTTCGTTATGAACCGACGATAACCAGGTACTCGTTCTAGGGAGTGAAAACTGTTTCACGCGTACACACTAAAACCTCGTTACTTCATTTGTCACGTTTTAATTATAGCCCACTAATGAGTACCCGGCTATAGTGATGTCCCAGTTTTGCAACTGGTTTTTGCACTGACCTGGTTCGCGTATTTACACATGACCAAGTCATTTAAGTTTTCCTTGGCAGTTAAAAGTTAAGACTTTAGACAGTTTAAGATTATGAACTTGATTACCGTAATGGGCTCGTACTGGACGAATTTACGTAACAATAAACCAGTCCACATGGTGCTAGTTTCAAGAGAATGCACGTTGAAATATAAACTTGTTGTATTATTTTATTGTCATTAATGATTAATGTATTGTAACTAATAGTTAATTTGGGCTTGTATGTCTTTTTTCGAATATGTTTATTCTGTAAGGGTTTCATCCTAAAGATAAAAATTTAGTAAATTGAATAGAGTGCACCATTGACTTACAATTATATGGACGACGGGTCCGCGCTAAAAAGTGTCCGAACTTATAGGGCGTTAAAATCGTATACAGAGTGTCATTCACGCTCTAGTCTTCTTTTGTTCGACTGACAGCGAAGCAAGCAAAATTAGACAGTACTGCAATGACATTACAATTTAAATTCAACATTTTAGCTTTTTCATATTCCTTGAAATGTCACTACGTTTAAATAGGTTGACTTGGGACATTTTTTCGTGTTTTTTGTATTAGACCCGTCGTCCATTTATTTGTAAGTCAATGGAGTGCACAATAAAAAATTAAAAATATAAGATAGCAAAAAGCAATATGAGTGTACTCATTGTTGATTTATAGGCGATTGCATCGATGCAAACATGCGACTGCATCGAAACAAACGCGCGATTGCATCAATCGCCTATAAATCCCTAGTGTATCGATGTAATCGCTCTTGCATCTCGTTTGAATCATTGCTTAAAATCGCGCGCGTGTGTAAAAGTAAACGCTTAGCGACTGCATCGCATTTACATCGCTTCTAAAAGTCGCCATGCGTAACTGCTCTAAGGTATATTATTGATCCAAATGGTTTTGGATGATGATGATGGTGATACCTTACCTATTTCTGCCGCCAAGCAGCAAGGTGACCATCACTGTGTTCCCTTTGAAGGCTGGCGAAATTACATGCTCATCGAACTTGTCAACTTATGTCTCAGGGTGACGGGCGCAACGGCAGTGCCAAACCTTTGCGATTTAAAGCTCTGAGTGGCACTGCAACTGCAATGTATAGGCGTATTGCTTACCACCAGACGCACGACTTGTTCATCCCGTCACTTCGTATCATAAAAAAATATAATTGTTCACGTGGCACAATGATCTAAAACCATGTGAATAATTTCATTTTTTCAAATTGATATAATAATATCATCCTAGTGACTTTAAAGGTTTCAGCAAGTTTTAGTTTGGTTTACTTCACATTTATGCGCTTAGGTACCAACAAATTTCGCTTTGTGACATTATGAAAATATAGACCCTGGTCAATATCAACGTAGACTAATTTTTGATCTGCATGGATTGCACCATTGTTGCATAACTGCGTTCTTGAGAGTAGTCGTGATTTGGGTCTTTATTAATGAACTTCACTCAAGTGACATTGAGATCAGTTTTGTACTTAAAATCAATTTACTTCAAACGATTAGAAATAATGCCGTCTCTAAAAATAAGCAAAAGCACGTAACGCTGACGACGAACAATTTTATTCCTCTGTTTCAGAACAATATAGAGAACTCAAGAGTAATGAAATTAATACATTTGGAAATAAAGTGACTAAGGCAGATCGTGACTCACAACGTAAGTCAGTGGACCTAGTTACTTTCTTTCAGTATAGTTCTTCGATTTTATTGGATTCGTGTTTTGGGCAAGTTCTCAGAATACAATATAACGCATAAAATTTTTCATTGACCATTTTCTTTTTTATTACTACAAAAGCTGTTATCAAATTTATGGAGCAAAATCATCAGAATCAATCATATTCCACGATCGACTGCTGTTGGCCTTATATCGTATTATTATTTTGTGCCCAATACGTCACGTTTTACTTTGTAAATCTTTTATTTATTGCCAGTGCCATCGGATGTCCCGCGAACAACGCCCAAGATGATGGACAACGCCGCCACAGATACTAACTCTCAAAAAGTGGCAACATATGCTACAGTACAAAGTACGAACTGTGGTAGGATCCGCACATTATTCCTTTCAAACCTATCCTGAATTTTCTTCGACGAGATTATGAAATTTCTTTGATAATGCACTGAAAAGACAGCCTTAAAACTGCAATAAACGTATTAGTGTTTACCTCGTTGTTGCCTAAAAAGTTAAATATACACCAAAATTTAACACTGTAGCCAGGTAACACAAAAAATTTAGGGATTGTAAGGCGCTGCGCAGATGAAGCAATTTTGATCCTCGAGCTTCGGCATCCGGGAACTCGCAACTACCTGTTCATGAGACGTTATCCACATGATAATTTCATGAAACTTCATAGACGTAGCCATTTCAGTTGAGAGTTTCGGTAATCGACAAGAGCTTTTTAATTGCCAAAATCTGCGATTAAAATTGTTAATTGCCACAATTAGAAACTTGCAAGTTTGTACCGATTGTCTCAAGTTTCAAATTTCCGTTCAAATGCTATAACCAAATTAGAAGCCAAAAATGTTTGTCACATGATGCTATATGTCAAAGTAAATAATGGTCTAGTAGATCATCGCATGTGACCTGGCTTGGCTACAGAGAGTTAATGGTGATTTTAATCTTGAAACTACGAACAGTGACCGCTTTCAGTCAAGCCATTAATTATGGGCCATATTCTATCCATAATTAATTTGGTAATCTCTATCAAAGCTCACAATATTGCAAATAAGTATTGAAAAATTTGTTCTCTTTAACGAAATTTTGCTGTAAAGATAAATCTATTGGAGTGATTTCCCATTGAATATCATGGTGGTTGAACATCATGACTTCCAATAAATTTAAATTAAAAGTTATTTATAACTAGTTGCTTAGTGGTAATTATTATGTTAGTTGGTTATTAGCTATGTACAAATTTGTCTATCCAACGTAACTATTGTAAACATTAGTGGAAAGTGTTTTGGCTAGTGTTATAATAATAAATAAAATAAAAAGTATTTATTACTTCGCAAATATTTAAACAACAACATGCGAGATTGAGATCTTCTTTTAAGTATAAAAATACTTGTATCGGGAGATCTCACTCCTCTATAACTAGTACATATACTGAACTAAATCTCTTAACTATGGTACAAAAAAAAGAAAATAAAAATAAACTAAAGGACTACAAACTATGAAAAAAGAGTTTACTAAGTTTTAAAGAGAGTTTAAAAAGTTAACATATAAATTTAGCTATTAGTTATGTGTATTAGGTAATGGTAAGGTGTGTTTGTGTTTGTGTGTGTGTGTGTGTGTGTGTGTGTGTGTGTGTGTGTGTGTGTGTGTGTGTGTGTGTGTGTGTTTGTGGTGCGTACGCGAATGAGGTGTGCTGTGTGTGTTGTATGTTAAAACTCTGGATACGGCCGACTATACATATATTATGTTAAGGTATTTGATAGTAAGGTATGTTATAAAAAAAAGTGTTTGTTTCATAATTGTTAAAAATGACATGTTTATATGATGTTGTATGTTTTCCAAATAAATAAAATAAAATATAAATAAATCTACAGGTAAAATGATACACCGTCTGTCTACTCTGGCACGTCTTCTCAGTCAGGGAAATAAGACAGCAGGTGACGGCAAGCATTCAGACGCAGTACAACTGTCAAGTAGCTTGAATGCCGAGAAGTGGTTGCAACGTAGTTTCCCTATGGACGAGAAAGGTTATAAACTAGTCTCAAAGTTGGATCCATCGACTTCATAACCAAAAATAGAGACGAAATAAGGGCCATCCATGCCTGGCTACTCATTAGGCAAATGGGCTGTAGCTTTTGTGGGTTTTAACCCAATAAAAGATGGTCAAATTATACGCTATGAACTTTTATCTATAGTAATTGGCACTTGGAAAGTATACAAAACTATTGAATGAATTTACAAAGTTAAAAATAATGTTTTTTCAAGTGAAGCTCGTAATTGGGTCTCTCCCACCAATGGGCCGCCCGCGCTTAAAGCCGTCGTTGGTTCGGCTCGCGTCGGTTTACGTCGGCAACATGGACCGTACATCACTTTTAAATATCAACTCTCATTTCCGCTAAAATCACAAATTAAGAAAACTGAAATAGTACAGCGCCATCAACTGACCTGTATGTACGTCTCCGTATATTCCAGAAATATTCTGTATTTATTGTAATAAATATAATATCTTTAACAATAGGGGATGCTCCATTCGGTGGTGAGGGAAAAACAGCAAACCATCTAATTACAAAACAAACAGAATCACATTTCATCGATAATTAAATATTAAATATGTATTTTTTTCAAATTTTCGTCCATTATAGCAAAGCTCAAGTTAAAGGAAACTATTGACAACACCTGTCAATTGATTCGAATTCAGGCTGGGCAATCGGAACGCAGTTGTCGCCATAATGATTTGGCAGAATAGTTTTCAAACAAATTAAATGACATTTCGTCTTTATTTCTGGTTATATAGTCGATGGTTGGATCATTCCGACGATATCATTGTTATCTCATGTTTTTACAGATATTAATTGAAAATATATAGGTGGAGATAAAATAAAATACTTATATAAATTGCGGTTAAGGAGCCGTTCAAAGTTTACAGTCCTTCACCGTTGACAAGTTAACTGCCTCCGTGGCCGAACGGTTACCCTGCAAGTCTGCCACGTAGAGATCCCGGGTTTGATTCTCGTGCCGGGAGAAATATTTCTATGTTGAGTTGGGATGTAATTTGTGGTTGTCTATGCGTGTGGCCATGGCACCCGCGCACAGGGTTTCCCTAGTGCTATGAATGCGTACGTTAAAAAAAAGTAGCTGACTTCTTAATTTTTTAAACGCACGCGTATTATGCTTACTCATATTTATACTCGTACTTTTAAGAAAAAAACATAGATATCAAAATAAATAAAACAATATTTCACCTGCATTTATATTAACTGTTTAGTTACATGTCATAGTTCCCCGCCTGAATCCCTTTTTTAGCTCTATTTTCACCTTCCTAATCTCGGTTTCCAAATTTCAATTTATAAGTTTCCCTGTTTTAAAAACCAAGTAAAAACTATCTGAAATGATAACCGCGAAAATCCAAGAAAAAGAAAAAGCAATTTACCATTCACGTAGGGTACCATTTACCAATAAGTACCTAACAACAGGTACAAAAAGAAACTAAAGCACACAAACTTTTCTCTCGTTGAACACAGAGAACAGAAAATGGTGGGTAGCTTTTAAAACTTCTTTGATTACTTGTCAATGTTACATTTGACATCAAGAATATTTGGTCTTTCTATTTCACGCCGTTACCAAAACTTGTAGTTACATAAATTGTTATTTAACTACACTACGTTTATTTCTTTTAGACAGAAGGAAAGTTTTACTCTTATCATGCGCCAATTCATTATTCAGTAGGTATGTAAGCAAAATGTCAAACATATTATTTCATATTTTTTATAATTACTACGTTAAAAAGAACGTAGTAATTATAAAAAATATGAAATCGTAAGAATCACCGAATATTAAATGATTTTTTTTTTATCTATAGTTCCTTGATCTATTTCGAAAACTTACACTATATTAAACTTAAAAAAAACAGAGGGTCTAAACTTGAAACGAAAGCTTTTTATAAATTAGTAACATATCATAATGTCGGTTGTAAATGTCATTTATCATCGATTCTTACGATGTTTTACTGTAATTTGTCTGAAAAAATGGTTTATGATCACTGCTTCCTTGCTTACAATTTTTCTAATTCTAAAAAAAATACGTTTTTTAAGAGAAAAAGAATCTTCAAACTAATTTTATTCATAGTTACAAATAAATTCACACTTGACAGTATTATTAATTTCTCTTTAAACAGATTACCAGTCTATGTTCGATACGGAACAGATGATGGACTTAGAGCACACATCGCCGACTGAGTCTCTTTGCATCCCATACAAATTGACAAAGTGCTCCAATATCGTATCAGGAGAAGTTGAAACATCGAAAAATCCAGGATTTACACGTATGTATATCTGTATTTACGCTTAGGTCGAAGTTGTAAAGGCAAGAGCTAGTGAGGATAACAATGATGTCAAAATTAATATCAAAGAATTCTCAATAATGTGGAAATTGACACTTAAAAACGTCACAAGAGGGCAACAATAGCGAGGTTTACTTCACCACTCGTCCGTTGTTATTGTTTTTCTCAATCAAAAGTATTTATTTTATTCCATAGTATATTTTTTAAGGAAACGGTGGCCTGAGAATTTATGGACTAAATACTGGGTTCGAAATTTTATTTCCTTTGATAATTATCATTAATAATTATCCGATATACGTGTGTCGAAAGTGTCTAGGGATAAAGGTATTTTTTTTAATTTGATTAACCTGTTAGAGTTAAATAGAAATATCATATTTAAATTATGAAATAAAGCAAAAAAACCATTCGTATAAAGAAATCGGAGCATAATAATTATCGATGTTGATTCATAGTTTTCTCTTTAATTTTCGACTAAATATGACAAGTAATGACAAAACTAAATACACACGAAGAAAACCCTTGGTGTGAACAATTTGGATTATAACTTCGTGGATACGTCTCCGATACAAACACATAACATTGATAGCAATAGCATAGTTGTACCAGTTAATTTTATAAATAAAATCAACCCTGTCTCAGAAAGGTAATTAAAATTATCACATGCAAAACTAATTATCCTCAACATTCCATACAGCTCTGCCTGATCGAATAATGATGGCTGTGTCAAGAGAAAGTTTAAAAGATATATTACCGAAAGGACCTCATCGGATTCATGCACTGGAACGAGTTCATAATGAACGATTGACTTGCACTATTGGTACCAAAATGTCACGCGGCCAGAGGATGGTCGACAAATGTACTTCAGGTAAACTTGATGGATGCTATTCGACCTGCACCCGCTGTCACTGTGTTTCACGCTTAAAGAGTGGGTTTAGATCATAATCCGCTACGCACACATCATGAACCCTCTCGGGCACAGAAGAATGGAAGAGACTAACGAAGCTATTTTCAAATCTACCTTTCTGCTTAAAGATTCCGTTCAGGAATTCATTAATATCATAATAATATTTATTTATTTGCATTGACTTACAAATAAATGGACGACGGGTCTAATACAAAAACCACGAAAAAAATGTCCCAAGTCAACCTATTCGAAATTTAAATTGTAATGTCATCGCAGTATCGCGCTGTCAGTCGAACAAATGAAGACTAAAGCGGAGTTTGGCGCTCTGTATACGATTTTAGCGCCTTACAAGTGCGGACACTTTTTAGCGACGACCCGACGTCCATATAATTGTAAGTCAATGTTTATTTGTAAGTCTTTTAGTTTTTTTTATGGGCTAGACTATGTTTCCCAAAGTGGTCACTGCCGCCCCTCAATGGGCGCTGAAGAGTCCTAAGGGGGCGGTAGGAGCTTCGGAAGAAATTGCGGGCGTTGAAGCAGTCCAGGGGGTGAATCACGTGATCAAACTGTTACGATATCGTAGCGATTTAGTCGTTGAACTGCTTTTTCGTGTTCACGTGTGACAGTGAACGTCAACGAGTCCAATTTTAAAGTCGTTCGGTCCAAATATCGTTGGAGCGTATTCTGGTATATGAATCGAACTTAAGTCGACTCTAAACGACAAGTCAAACGTGTTCTGCTAAAATTTTGTCAGTTCTTTCAAAAGACTTTCGACTTTCACAATACAAGATGTCGTTTATTAGTCGTTACGTTTCGATTCTACTCATATGAACGTTCGTTCAAGTGATACGTGAATAACCATTTTGGATAGGACTTCGATCGAACGACTACGTAAATTCAACGATATTTTGATAGTTTGAACTTACATGAATCGCACTACAGGGGGTGCCACCGCTGACTTATCTATATAAATTACACTACATATGTATTTTTTTTCCTTGTTATATGTATGTTAATATAAAAAATATGTGTTTTCAATTATTTGTTGTAGTTGAAACTTTTTATCTTATCTAAGTGGGCGGTGAGTCGAAAAAGTTTGGGAACCTATGGGCTAGACAAATGTAGAGTTAATCTAGATAAGAATCATTAATCTATTTTTGTGAGGCATTAAATGTTTTGTTGGAACGTCTTGACGGTTTAAAAAAAAACTAACCAAATTCGAACAAACACAAAGAAAATTTCCTTCGAACTGACTGAACTCGAACCAGCGTCTGTTCTATCACCAAGGCTGTTGCTCTTACCCACCGAGCTACAGACCGAGTCAGCAGATCTGACGAATTTTTCTTTGTGCTTGTTGCAGACTGCAGATTGTATTGGATTTAAACGATTTTTAGTCGTAACGCCTGTTATGAGAAACTTATGAATTTGTATAAATAATAATTCACAAATGTAGAAATTGAAGGTACATGTGGTCACAGAAAATTACAAGCAACTGTCCTTCCACTGGGTACCATCGTTTAGGGCTTAAAAAAAATTGCTGTTCCATTGATTATAGAATGTGAAATAAAAACGATTACATCTTTTCAGACACGATGACACCGAAACGTTTTGAAGAATTAGAGCTTCAGACTTCCCCCGAAGTCTGCCATACAGGTAACTTTAATTATTCCGTCCGTATATTATATGTCCGAATCCGAGAAATGACGGTCCGAAATAATAATATAATAATAACGCACACACTCAACATAGTCCCGCATTAAGGATACCCTGTGTCTTGGATGCCAGGGACACACGCATAGACAACCACAAATTGCACCCAAACTCACAAGAGAAATAAATATAGGCCATACAAATATTTTCCAGCCCGGGAATCGAACCTGGGAGCTCTGCGTAGCAGTCCGGCATGATAACCGTCCGGCCACGGATGTCACAGGGATCATTTTATCTTTAGGTGTACAAGCGATATTCGTATTTTATCGGACGCGAATTGGGCTTAGTGCACAAGCGACATCGGACGACAACGGTCCGAATTTTCTAAATTTTGTATAGATTCGCATTTGGAACGAATACGAGCGCTGCACACGAGAGAATTTCAACAAGATCTTTCTGACAATTTTCTATATAGAAAAAAGTGCCAAATGGCTTGTCTATTCATTTCAATTAACAATGAAATGGTTTTTTTATTATCGTTTTACATAACAAAAATTGACTAATTTGGTAGGTATTTTTTTCATCAACTTGTTATTGAATATCGTTGCAAAAATCTTATTGAAATTATCCCGTGTGCAGCGCGATATGACTATTGCGTAAACTGTCACTCCCGCACCGCGCATCTGTCTCAGGAACCGACTCACTTAAGCGGTAGGCGTCGAGTATATAACGAGAAATAGAGACAAAATAAGGGCCATCCATCCCTGGCAACTCAACAGGCAAATGGGCCATCCATTGAACAGTCAGCCATAGCTTAGGTAGCCATAGCTACCAGTAACTGTCAATACGTTCACTTTCGGTCGAACGTCACTGGTAACTATAGTTACCAGTAAATTACAGTACCCGATTGGTGAACTGTTTTACAAATAACTTTGGTTTTGGTATTGAGATCATTTTAGTTCTTCGACGAATTAAAATAATTTATAAACACAATTAGTTATCATTGTCAATTTAATGTCCACAATAATAAGAATTAAATATACCAACGGATTTATATTACATAAAAAAATAAATAATGCACGACAAATCGCGTAGTTAAACGTTTCATTATCTTTTTTTTTTCATCGAAATAAATAGGTGCACCACGGTCCATCGTCAAGTTCGAAATTCAAAAACATTTACCACGATAGCGTGCAAAAAATGCTTTTGTGCGCAGATTTCTAATGCGAAAGAAAGCCTTTCCGAGCTAGTGAGGTGAAAATAATATTAACATACCCGTATATTCCGTTTGTAAGCTGGCAGTACTTACCTGGACGAACTCTATCACAAGGAGCTCTACTGCTAACAAAACTCAGTATAATATCACATATCTAATACATTACAACTGCTTCTGTGGCCAAATGGTTACCATGCTAGACTGACATGCAGAGGTTCTGGGTTCGATTCCCGGGCAGAGAGAAATATTTGTCTATAGCCTATATTTATTTCTCTCGTGAGTTTGGGTGTAATTTGTGGTTGTCTGTGTGTAAGGCCATGGCACCCGCGATACAGGGTTTTCCTAGTGCGGGGCTATGAGTGTGTGCGTTTATTTTTATTATTACTACTTCTAAGACAATACAATATTAATTGGATATAATAATAAAACGAAATTATTCAAAGTTCTTATGTAATTGACTTAAAGCTGGGAATCCTATGAACATCATCCCGTTTAGGGACATACTTTGACACTATTCGAGCAGCGAAAAATTATGTGGAACGTTAAAGGTGTGTCTCTGTTGTTTTTATATAGGTTAACCATACAATCATCAAGTTCCATAAAACTAGAATAAAACCCAAGCTTGGACTAAGTAAGCAATATTGTATGAAAGTCACACCGCATATTGCCTGTCTATGTTTTTTTAGCTGTGAACATGGGGTCTTCGAAGAAACTTTTGGAGTCCAATTCAATATGTCTGAAGCAGTTCAAGTCAACGTACACATACACTTCGCGTTGCTTCCTACCGCCGCTGCGTTGCTCCCAAGATAGATATGGCACAGGTAATTGTAATATATGCTTTATCATAAATGACATACATCAAGCATTCCATCACCCAATGATGCTCTATGCCGACGATTGTACGATCGCCTGTATTAAAGAAAACGAAATAAGTAAATAACACCTTAAATTCATTAATAAAATTGCTTCAAGAACATAAACACTTTATTCACTAGTATGACACAAATACAGATTGAATACAACAGGAAAAGTGAAACATTTTTGTCATTGTAGTGAAATGGCACGGACCCAGCATATGCCTGAGTTCCCTAAGGCGCTGGTTTTCAGTCAGAACCAATGAGAGGTAGTAAATCTAGAAGCTTTTTTGTAATGAAAGATCTAACAAACTTTTAAGGAAATTGTTCTTTAAAATAATAATTGTAATATAGTGTGAATAGTGCATCAAAAGTAACCTATTGAATATGTAAGTGCATGTGCGGATTTTAATATACATGTAAGTGTAACTGTAAGTGAAAATAATGATTGTGAATGTGTGTTGGTGTAATAAATCAAATTAAAAAATTTACATTTAGAAAGGCTACGAAGAAGAGTACATGGGGACATGAAAACGAATATTAACATTAAAATTTCAACAAATTAGACATATTTTTTTAGCGAGAGTAGGTGTGGCCGGTAAAGTGCTAATGTATGTAAATAAAACATGTTAGATCGACCGTTAAAAAACCTGTAAGAAACCGTTGAAAGCTTAAAACGTAAAGGCGGCTTCCGACGACCCGTGGTGGCTCGTTTCGCGCAAACGTGCCGTGGTTCAGTGTGCCGCCCGAGCGCACCCGTGCCAGCCTGTTCGGTTTCGCTGCTGCTCGATAACTTCACAGCTCTCGGTACATACTCAAATACTCGCCACCAACCGCGTCCGTTTCGCTGTATACTATACACTACAACTACTGCACATACTATAAAACAGCTTATGAGAAAGCCCCACATCATCATCTTTTTTTTATTCCCAATATGGCCATAGTAGTAGGACATCCATCCCAACAAAGTAAATAAAAAGAACACATCGTGACAACCCTGCGGTATGACGTAAAGTCTAGACGAAAGCGGCATTTCGCGAGATTTCAAAGGCGATGTACTACTGTATGTTCTTTACACTGTGGTATTAGTAAAACAATACGATTTTGAGGCCATTTTCTTTTTCTTTTTCACCTATTTGCTTAGACAAAAGTTCTACTATTTGCAACCCAGAAAACTGGGACGCGAATTACTGCAATGCGATTTCGTGCGGCAAGAAATCTCACTGCCATGGTTCGGGTAACCATTCTTTCGATGATCATCATTCGTACTGAATGTATTTTTGAAACTAGGTGACAACATGGATCGTAAAAAGAGTGTTATTGATAAGAAAGTATAGGAAAAAAAAACACAAAGAAGATTAACATCTCAGGAATGCGCGACGCGGAGCAATTCGCAAATTCTTGCGATGCGTCGTGCGAGCTCGCAGATTTCTGCGATGCGCCGGCGCATCGTAGTTTTGTGTTTCGACCCTAAGTGCTAAATAATACAGAAAAAAGGAATGCCGCGTATTTGTTGCGTCGTTTTTAACGCAAATTAATTTTTACTTTAAGTATTACTACGATAAAAAAATTGGCGGGCATTTGTGGTTATAGTTCTTACATGAATCAAAGTCAAAGATCATTTATTTCGTAGGTAAAATATATTTACACTTGAAAACGTCACATTTACATTACATTAAGCTACTGCTCATTCACTACGCTGATTTCTCTGAGAAGAACGAGCAACAAGCTCTAGGGATTGCTCTTTTCAAATAAACTTAAATGCTATGGAATACACTTTGAATCAAATTTGTGTGGATTCTGGAGCCGTGTCGTCTTTCCATACATCTAACACCTTCTACACATGTAACACGTAGTCTTCAGTTTTGTAATATGACTTTTCAATCAAAATATTTTTAATGTAGATTTTAAACTTGTGTTTTTAAAAATGTTAATCTTAATATATGCTTCGGAATCTTATTGTAAAAACGTATACAGTTCCCCATAAGAGTCGTTTACCCTCGTTTATCGTTTGTCGTGGATATCTTCTTTCTTATTGAAATTATGTATATTTTTACGGGCTTATAAAATATTTGAGTAAATGTATTGTGATGCCACAGTCATGATACCAGTCTCCTTAAACTTTTCTCTGAGAGAAACCCGAGAGCCTAGACGGTACACAGAACGAATCGCTCATTTTTGCAATACAAATATAGTTTGAATATCCCCCGCTTTACCCCACATGAGAATCCCGTGGGACATTATACTACGGAAGTAGCTAAAGTAAACTAGTCTAGCAGTACTAACATCGGTAAGCTCACGTATTCTGCGGACTGCGTATGCAGCGGAGCTTAATCTGCTGGCCAGGGAAGATACATGTGAAAACCATTGAAGTTTACTATCTAAGGCCACTCCCAAGAACAATGCTTTATTAACAAGATCTAACTTTTCTCCGTTTATTTCTATGCTTGGACTAGTCAATTTTACGTTAGGTAATTTAAATTTAACACATTTTGTCGTCTTGGCATTACGCAATAAATTGTTAGCATTAAACCAATAAGCTACCTCAGAGAGGGTACCATTGATATGATCATAGTTATTGTCATGTCTGTCTGTTTTAAAATTTATCATTAATTTTAAGTATATACGTTTTCAGTTTCTTAACCATTTGTTACCTTTTTAAGCTGATGGCTCAGTAACCAATGCTCAATAAATAAATAATAATAAACTAAATATAACAGGATGTAACACTCAATGTTATCGGGTAAGTACCAGCAGAACGACAAATCCAATAAAAGCTAGAGTTATTCGGAATATTCAATCCTAAACACACATTACGCGTGCCGAAAACACTGCGAGACTATATGTGGTTTTACGAAGTGATGGCGTCTGTTTAAATAAAACACTGTATATCTTGACATGTTGACAGTTCGTATACAACAAACAACAACGCGTTTGTATACGCCTGATATTTATTTAACAACAAAGCTTTTAACCCCGTACTCGAATATACAAACTTGTTGTGGTTTTTGGAATAGGAAGAGTCTTTTGGTCTAAATTAAACATCCACTTTTCTTGTATTTAGTCCTAAAATGTCATGTTTCAAATTGTGGTGAAGCTTTCTTAGTGAATCATGTTTTAATTCCGCTCTCCCCTTTCCATCACCGGGGAACAAGACGTAGTTTTGGGTTCGATCACTGTGCTGTTGACATTCCAAGGATTCGCACGAAGCATTCGCTTCCACATTTATATGGCGAGCGGTATGGAACGGCTTGGGTCTTTTCCAAGGCGAAAGTGAATAGGCATCATTCAGGTGTGCAAGTTCCAGCGTCGACCTCACCGTCACTATCCTTCAGGTGAAATGGAGATCAACTTATATTTTTATTAACAAAACTTCAGTGCGCCAAGCCAAATTTTAAGAATTCCTTTCTTGTGGAAACTGGGTCTACCAACCAAAGATTTAGATATTTTGCTACTTTTTTTATGATACCAAGTGACAGGGCGAACAAGTCGTGCGCCTGGTGGAAAGTCACGCCTGTCCATAACAGTTGCAGTGTCACTCAGAGCTTTTAATCGCAAAGAACTGTGGGACACTTCCACTTGCCCCGTCACCCTTAGACATAAGTTGACAAGTCCCATGTGCCTATAATTTCACCAGCACCTCTAGCACATCAACATTTAGCATCCGATTCATATATGTTCCGATTCCTTCAAAACCGGAACGTAGTAATGCTCACATTACTGCTTGGCGGCAGAAATAGGTGGCAGTACTGCTACTATATATTTACCTATTTACTATATATTGTCTGCAATGTCTTCAGGATCATTATATTGGAGTTCTATAAGTTGTAAATATAACGTCACTAGAAAACTGTGTGATAATTTTTCAATAGTGATTTACAATTAGATAACAACTTAAGAAATGAAATTTTTTCGGATCTAAATATATATTTATTTATATTTTTCTTTTTTTTTCAAACAAACCAAAGTTTCGAGCTCTTCACTTTATTTCGGAAACCTTCATTTGGAACTTGTAAAGACCCCAAAACGTTGGTTTGTTTGAAAAAACAAATATACGCAATTTAAGGCAGAAAAAGTAGTTTCAATTTCAATGTGCAGCAATAACAAAAATCTAAAAACTCGATAGACACCAGCTTGTTAACCTTCTTAGTCTGCCTTTCCACCAGAGATGAGTGAGTGTGCGAGAAAAAATCCACCAATATGATTACTTTATTTTCCTAGCCTCGCCCTGCGCAGCTCCGGTGGAAAAGGGTTAGCGGAACTAAGTATTTGTACATACAAAATAGCGAGAGATGTGTGCGAGGGTTGCGGGTACTCGAGCTACTGAAAGTATGACACTAACTGACACTGACATATCGCCACCGCTCACCCCATCACACCGTGCACCGCCCGCGCATAGCTCTACCTCGCACAGCTTTGGTGGAAACGATCACACCGTTTCACAGCGCCACCACACATCCACGCACCGCCTCGCTACATCGCACATCTCTGGTGGAAAGGCATCCTAATGCTTGATAGCCTAAACTGCCTCTGATCTTTTCAAATAACAACACTAGATTCTGATTCATAAACACAAGTCACAGAATTTCCTAAAGGGTAAAAGCAGTTTCACTTACTCTACAATAATACCTACAAAGTAGAAAACACCTTTTCCATCTGAGGCAAACTTATAGAGCATTGTGATTTCTTCAACAGTTGATAGATTCTTAAGTGCTTGATAGCCTTAAGTACCTCTGATATCTGCAAATAACAATACCACTGGTTCATATACAGAAGGAACAGAATTTTCTAAAGAGTAACAGCAGTTTCACTTACTGTACGAGGATATAAGGTTGAAAACATCTTTTTTTCATCTGACGCAAATTTATAGCATTGTGATTTCTTCAACAGTTGATAAATTCTTCAATGCTTGGTAGCCTAAACTGCCTTTGATCACTTCAAATAACAATACCACCGGTTCATATACAGAAGTCACATAATTTTCTAAGGAGTAAAAGCAGTTTCATTTACTCTATTGAAAACACCTTTTTCATCTAAGGCAGACTTATATCATTACGATTTCTTCAACTGTTGTTAGATTGCTAAATGCTTGGTAGCCTTAACTACCTCTGATCTCTTCAAATAACAATACCACTGGTTCATACACAGAAGTCGCAGAATGACCTAAAGGGTAAATGCACTTTCACTTACTCTACGAGAATATAAAGCTGAGAACACCTTTTTTCATCCGAGGCAAACTTACAGCATTGTGATATCTTCAAAATTTGGTAAAAAGTAGCTAAATCACTATTATTGTCTTATAAAAAATTTTTTGATCCAGATTGCGTGTTCGTGTACCAACGACCCCGGTGCCTAACGCATTACAACTCCTTGATGGACGTGAGTGTGCAAAAGGATAATTGTCATAAACAGAGCATGCACAAACAGAAATGTGAAGAGATAGGTACGTTCTGTTCTTATGTTTACTAATGCGATACACTTTAGACACGTCTGCACCTTAAGGCCTGGCTACATAGTCGAGCTTCACCGCAAGTAAATTTACTCAAACCGAATTCGCGCTTGTATCTGTATGCGTGTATGCTGTTAAAAGCATTACCGTGTAGACGGGCCATTAGGTAGGGCGCGACGAGTAACAGACAAATTGCGTCTCCCCTGGCGCTCCACTAAGCCGTGGTGAAACTTAGTTAACCAAGCTGTACTCAACATTCTTTGGCTGGAATTAAGATCCTTGGTCTTCACTTTCTGCAATGAAAAAAAATATAGTCACACGGTGGAAAGTCTACAACATCAATATTAAGAGCATTAACAAATAACATATATTCATATATAAAATAATGTTCGTCTGTTTTTATCAAGTAATTAATAGATTCAGGCGTTACTTTGCGGAAGTCCATTTTAATAAAAATAGAGGTAAATTAACTGGAATTTATATCATTTTTATGGTTTTCACCTTAGAATAATAACGCATAGAATGATAGTTTCATATCTAACGAACTGTCACAAGTGAGGCAAAAATCAAATTCATGTAGGCTAGTTTTAGTAGTAGGTTAATTTTCGGTTTTAGTGAATATTTATATAAAAATACAAGTTGAAACGCGTTACTTCCTTGTGGAATGTGATGTTAGTATCTATTTTATGTTTGTCTGACGTATTTTTACACTCATTTACCGCACTTTTCGTCATTTTTAGCTAAAATTCTGGAGCTGTTCGCGGTGCAAGGTGACCTTGAGCACTGAAGGCCCGCCCTCTCGTGTAGGCCCTTTGAGCGCGCTTCAATTTGCCTCACTTAGCGTGTGCGGACTAGGTTTTGCGTTATTATTCTAAGGTTTTCACTTATTAAAAAAATGGTGTAGTAGTACGGTAGAACGTTTACTACATCTATAATATAGAGCATTAAAAAATTACGTATATTGAATGTCAAATATGAAAATAATATTCGCCTGTTTTTATCCAGCAATAAAGACGCTACTTTGCGGAAAATCCATGTTATAAAAATGGAAGTAAATTAATTGGACTTTACATCATTGTTTTGGTCTTCACTTTCTATAATGAAAAAAAGAAACATAATATTGTAGTACGGTAGAAAGTTTACTGCATCAACAATATAAAAGCATTAAAAATAACATTATTTATTTTGGCTATTTATAACTAAAACGTCGTTAACTGACAAAATAATTTTTTGAGATATTTTTGAGGATGTAATATTGAAATTGTTTAATGATTCAGCCATGCATCTTTAGGGTAAGTTACGAAAAGTCGATCACGTTAACTTATTTTAACTGTGGTTCTCAATTCGACTGTATGTTCTTTTTTTTGTGTATGATACGCGATAACTCCGATATTTCTGAACCATAGTGGTCCCATTTCATTTTGAAGAAAATCATCCACTTTTAAGGGTGGTTGTTTACGCATGCAGATTCATTTTTATAAATAGCGCCTAACTTTAAATTAGGAGCAATTATTTTAATGGTTGATTTTGCTATTACTCCAATTCAAGGCGTTATTCTCTCAATATACTTTGAGTAGTGACAACCGATTATTATTATCTCCAGTGTCAAGTCCTGTATAGTGGCGAACTAGGGGATATTTCCACTCAGAGCTTTAAATCGCAAAGATCTGACAGTTGCACTGCCACTGCGCCCGTTACCCAGAGACATAAGTTTTCAAGTCTAATGTGCCTGTGATTTCACTGGCACCCTTACCCTTCTAAATCGGAACGCAGTAATGTTAACAATACTGCTTGACGGCAGAAATAGGCGGTAGGGTGGCAGTACTTCACTGGACGAACTCTTAAAACTCTCTTCTTTCTTTGTTTGTAAGTATTTTACAAAAACCCTGTTTAAAGGTTAAACTGGGCGTGACTTTACCACTAGATATGATATGATATGATATGATAGAATATGTGTCTTCGCTTAGGCATATTCAATTTCGCTAAACATTTATTGCAAACAAATAATATTTTACCAAGTTCCCATTCTTATAATATCTTACAGTTTTGTGAAAAAATACTATATCTGGGTGTTTTGGAATAGATGAAAATAATTAGACACAACAATACGGGATGTATAATAAATGAACAATAATTTGTATGCGTCTGTTTATGAAAAATATGTGGAAGTATAGACTTAAAATTTCTGAACAATTTTGGTTTCGGGTTTACTTAGAAGTCTGGTATTAAAGATATTCCAGTTTGAAATTTGTTATAAATAATAGAATTAAATATGTTCGGTGTTTTAATATATATATAATATTAAACTACAAGAGCCTTCGTAGAAGCAGATTGATGCCGTGGTTTATAACATGACAAAAGTTTAGATGAAATTATTTTGTATAATACTATGGTCAAAAGGCATGAAGTTAAGCCACAACAAAAGAAAACTTAGTGAACTTAGTTACTGGTAACTTGGACACAATATTTTATTTGTGAACCGTGCCATCTATCCCTGATATCGGTTGTTTGCACCCGATTCATTTTTTTATAATGCTTTTTGCAACATGCTATCGGACCATGGACCATGAGCAGTTGTTTTGTTATGATCTATTTAGCGTGTTAGGCTCGCCCGCCCTGTGTAAGGAGATTATCACACTGCACCGCGCCCCGCGACGGTCAGCGGTCTAGCGGCCCCGCGTCTCTTGAAATAATCGCTTCGCAGTTGATCACCGTAGTGATTGTATGTAGCCGATATCCTTCTTTAATAAGAATGGTTAATAATACAGAACTCACTCAGGACGCTGCAGTTATACTGTCACCGAAGATATTAGATACATCCCTTATTACGAACCAGATCGATAAATGGATAATTTCATTACAAAGATTTAAAGAAAATATGAAGACAAATTTGGTAGATTTTGAATTCAAATATAAATTTATCGACGGCGCGATCTATTGTAGAAAACTGAACATGTCCTTAAGCTCAAAACTCTGCGCGGTAATGCGGAGCGTGCCATATACCCTGCGGTTCGCCGCGCTCCCGCGGAGAAGCCTTCTCAGAGTGTTTGACGTGCGTGTTTTCCATACAAACTGAGGTATTTCAGTACAATGTTAAAAAACGCAGCTCCGCGCTCCGTCGCGGGTCGCGGTGCACTGTGATAATCGCCTTAGACTGCCTTCAACTTACCAATTTCTCATCCCTTTAGCCCCACATGTGGCGCCTCTTCAATCGTCTGTTCTTAGAGATTCGTTCAGAGCTTGTGCAAGCCTGTTTTCATGTCGTGAGATTCTCTCATTATAGGCTTATAGGGTTTTGTCATGCTACTCATCTCCTGTTTGACAGTAGGGATTTTCGCATAATCATGAATATCAGCCATTTTTGTGAACCATGAAGCATTCGCCAGAGTTTTGAGTACACTATTTTGGAACCTCTGTAATATCTCCAAGTTTGACATACTTGCTGATCCCCACAGTTGTAATCCATAACTCCAAACCTATTTGAGGACTGTTTCAATTAAAGTTTATTGGCACTAAGTACCGTTGACAACTAAAATGTTTAAGAACTTATTAATGTATGTATGTATGTATGATTGTTAAGAAGCTCGTATTATCGTAGACGATAAAAGAAAACGTAAAGTAAAATGCGAATTATTAATAAATATTTTTTAATACAGTTGTCCTCGTAGTAAGCGCATGGTGTCATTACTCAGATTTAGTAGGGTATTATACCGTAGGTATTTTCGATTTTGTATGAGAGTGATGTATCTGTTATGCAGTAACTATTGGGTAATCTGGGCCAATACATTATTTATTTACGTTACTATATTAAGCTCCTTATATATTTTAGTTTTATGTCCATTTCCTAAAGTTTTTATTACGTTTTTAATACAGTTGCTCAAAAGGTGGTATTTTTCGCACTACAAATCGTGCGAAAAGTTGGATTTCTCGCACTAGTGCTTTTTACTTTTCCAGTTTTTTTTAAATTTACTGTTGTTTTAAGTCTTAAACATAGAACTAAAGAGATTGTATATTTATTTCATATTTATGTGCTTTGTGACGTAAGTCATTCGTCATTACTATACTGTATCTATGGAGAGACCGCATTTTTACACCTATGTATGAAGTAAATGCTCCTTAGTAGCGATTATGTAGAAAATAAAGTAATATAAAATAGTAATTTTAATGTGGCTGACTACTAGCAACAGTTGCCATATTGAAAAAAGTCGGCCAAAAAAGTACTAATTTTTTTCATCGTTTACATTCCCGCCTTTTTCATTAACTTTTTTAAATACTGTTTTATTTTACTTTCAATGTAGGTTTTTCGCAAATGTATTAAAAAACGTTGTTTGATACACATGCGGATTTGTCATTTTCACTTGTCTCGCCTCTGGCTCGGGCCAAGATGCCTCGAGACTCGTGAATTATGACTAACTTTCCGCACTTGTATCAAAAATAACTATATTAGTTCCTAAAATGAGATTAAAATAATTCTGACTTGTACTTATTTCGTCATATGCCATACCTTTAAAAATGTTATTATTTTATTCTCTACTTCCGTTCTACTGCCGCTCTCCATCCGACATCCGTCCAAAACAATTACTGTCAAATAAGTAATACTCGATTAAATTACAAGACGCATGATGTGAATGAAACTTCGTACTCGACATTGTGTTTAGATTTGGTCGAGTATTCCTTAATTGACAGTAATTATTTCGGACGAAAAACTGGTATATACACCTAGTGTGTACATTACACAATTGATAGTCGTTATGAGTATACAATTTCAAAGTCCGCGTTTTATAATCACTTGACTGTTACAGAAACATGCCAAATATAATTACTATCGAAAATCTATAAGCCATCCTAAATAATACTGTACAGTCTTCGAAACATGATATTGTTTAACTAATAGATTCAGGCGTTACTTTGCGGAAATGAAGTTTCAATTTACAAACCTGTACAGAAAATCAAAAATATATATTTTATTAATTCTATGGTAATATTCAACGCAAGCGCAGCCATTTTGCACGATTTAACCTTCACTGGGTTCGCGGAGTTGCAAATTAATTTACTTCCATTTTTATGATAATTTTTGTAAAATTATGATCCAGATAACCTAAGGATTACATCATGGAGTTCAAATGCGTCACCAGAGAGCCGAGGTCCGTCTGCGCCCCGACACATATCAAACAACACCAAGGAAATTCTACCTAAGGGTATATTAATGTATATTTTTATTAAATAGACGACATATTCCGTTTTAGTGGTTATTATAAACGCAACTTTCCTCCCACGCGATACGGACCATAGTGCTACGGTAAGCTAATACGGGTATACATACGTAGGTGGAGATAAATTTTTCTTGATGTGATATTTACAAATGAGTACCCGATACGGCCTGTCCTTACAAATTTAAAGGTTCAGTGGTAGCTCTTATTCCTGGACATATTTAGAGTATGGACATATGTAGCCTACTCTCGGCTAAAATAAATAGAAGGCTCGGTTCACATAAAATTATTTATTTTGTCTTTAATTCAGACAACAGGGTCCATAAATTGGTACAATTTTCTTATTGGCTATGTTATTAAAAAGATAAACATGACATTAAGTATAAATAAGAGGAAAAGAGCGGGAACAGACCCAAACCAAGACAGCCCAGGCTTTAAAATCAGTTAAATTACGTGAGGTTTTACATGATGACTCGATACACGTCCTTTCGCTTCGAGATTTTGATGTGAGTGGAGACGGAAAGAACCAAAACGTAAGAATAATGGACGACGGGTCTAATACAAAAACCACGAAAAAAATATCCCAAGTCAACCTATTCGAAATTTAAATTGTAATGTCATCGCAGTATCGCGCTGTCAGTAAAACAAATGAAGACTAAAGCGGAGTGTCGCGCTCTGTATACGATTTTAGCGCCTTAAAAGTGCGGACACTTTTTAGCGCGGACCCGACGTCCATATAATTGTAAGTCAATGAAGAATAATGAAGACAAAGAATTCGAGAACAATTTCAAATTTCGAAAATAAGTGTCCAGGAACCAGCAAATAGCGTGAAAAAGGTGGGATGACAATGAAGGAGGTCGCATACGTCACGAACTAAAAAAAAAGTGACTACCTTACGCCCCGAGGACGAGTAGGCGTTGATGCACGGAATAGGCGGACTCTTAGGCGCTGAGCAGATGGAGCAACTTTGATCATCGAGTTTCGGCAATGGCAATGGCCGTGGTCACGGGCTGATTGGCAATCCAGTGCAACGCGAAAGTTCAAAAGTATAATTAATCTATTATTTTATGCAGGTTCTATACGCTGCGGTCTACTCAAGAATACCTACCTGAGTACGGAAAAGCGGTACACCATAGCGTGTGTGACCTACACAATATGTCCATATAATACTATTTATTTTATTGTGACTTAGAATTACTATTTTCAGTGTATGAAACTTCGTGTGACACGGCCGAACCTATTCCGGCCCATCCCACCAAGCTGATGGAACCAAAATCTTACAGATCAACAGCTCAAGGTGCGTCCTTGTCATATGTTTATATCGCGGTTTCTAATTCACTGGTGTTATAAATAAGCCTTTTCGGAGTAGTGGATTAATTTAATATTATCAATGTCATAACATTACGATAATTTGCAATACAATGTCAAGAGACAAATATTACGATCGGTTGATATAAACAATAACAGGTTAATATAAAACTAAAAAAGTATATCTAAAAAAAGAATATAAATAAATAAGTATTGTCAAAATACAACGTCAATTAAAAATAACAATTTCTACGAAAGAAATTCCACTGCACTGTAGAGTTCATCATTCACCTTTTTTTATGACACTAAGTGATGGTACGAACAAGGCGTGCTCCTGTTGGTAAGCTACACGTCTGTCCGTAACAGTTGCAGTGTCACTCAGAGCTTTAAATCGCAAAGATCTAAGGGGCACTGCCACTGTGCCCATCACCCTGAGACATGAGTTGAAAAGTCCCACTTACCTGTAACTTCACCTTCAAAACCGGAACGCCTCGTAGCCTAACCCGTAACAAGTTGTAAGTACTATAGGAAACTAAATAAGTATACAGGGTATCTCACGGCTATGCGACAAAAGTACTGCTGCATTTACGTTATACTGCGAAAACTTTTAAACAACGACATAGATCACATTTTGAATATGTGATATATTACTATGTGTGTACATGGCACCCGCGATACAGGTTTTCCCTAGTGTGGAGCTTTAAGTGCGTGGGTTTAAAAAATGCAAATATAATAAATCGCGTCGGCAGTTTCAACTATGTTTCTTTTTTTAAAAGATCATATTAAACGGTATTCCTTAATATAAAATAAGGTAATGCTACTTAACAAAAATATTCTTTTAATTGACCTTTTTGCATCATAAATATACCTACAACTTGTTTTTTTTTACATTTGGTCGATTTGTTCCAAGGTAAGGCAAGACATTTTTAATAGTATTTTATGCAGTAACGACGTTCTTAAAGTCGTTCTTAATGTACGAGATTTTAAGACCTAATTATGTAATGATTGCATACAATACTTTTTCGTCGAATAAATTAAAATAATGAAACTTAAAGATTATTTATTCACAATCCACGACAACAAATTCAAACGAAGGCCAAGCAAACGCTACAAAACAACAAACCAAAGAGATAGAAGTGTACGTGATTGGCCAAGTACCGCTTATATATTAACCTATCAGGAAGCAGTATAGAGTTGAGCGTTTGAGTAAAGTCATATTTGATACTTTAGTTAGCAAAAATAAGACATTATTTAGTCATTATGGTTCTGTGTATACAATAATGAAATTTTCCAGTTCATTAGAGAGTACCATAGGTAATACAATTTTGCTTCGGAACTAACAAGAGCCGCTTTGTGATATAAGTACCTAGTTTATGAAATTATAATAGATTAAAGTACAACAGTGAAAAAAAAGTTTCAGGCTCGTGTACATATCCATAGGAATTGGAAAGTATGCGCGTTTTGTGACATGAACATGTTTATAGAATAAGAAAACAGATCAAAGGATAGACCAGCATAAACCAGATAAAAGAATAAGTGGACAGAGTTTGAATTCTCATTATTGTTTTCCAAAGGCGAAAAGGATTTATGCCAGACGTCGGCGATGGTGCTGACCCCGCCGTACAACTACGTCAGCATGCAGCACTGCTGCGTGTGTAACAAGAAGAGAAACAAAACAGGTGAAATAACATTTTTTCACACCAGTTCTATTGCCCGTAAGGCCTGTGCAAACCTGCGGAGGGCGAGGGAGAGCATCGAAGAGGATTTTATGCCCTAAGCGGACACTGCTGAGACCGCAAACGTCTACGCTGTCGAAAAGATTCAAGCTCATTCAGGTTCAGTCTTTAGATTCCGCCGCATGCTGGCGCCTCCCATCGTGACGCGCGATCTTAAATATTCGGTCTTAGAGCATTGAAATTTATACTTTATTTCAATTGTAATAGCGTAACATATACATTAATGAATTTAATATCCAAAGCCTTCCATGTGATTTGCGCAGGCCCCATAAAAATTACTTCTTGCACCTGTGTGAAGCATGATACAATGCCCGCTTTAAGAATCAATATTTCTTCAGCTTGAACTCGATTTTTTCCCCGTAGTAATATGGTTCATTTTGCTCATTTTGCTTGAGTCGAACAGCAGGGACACTGGCTTTATTTCAGAATTTATTTTTTTAAATGAAATTAAAAAAGACTTTTGAAAATGTATTCATATTCATATTCTTTATTTGCAAGTTACATGGTTATATAACAGGTGTTCTTATGCTAATGGTACTTGACATGCATCTAGTATATGAACAGAAATAGAGACGAAATGTAATTTAATTTTTTTGAAAACTATTTACCATTTACCATTACTGTGAGAACAGCGCTCCGATTGGCCAACCCGAGTTCGAAACAATTGACGGGTGTCGTCAATGGGTGTCGTCAACTTATTCACTTCAAATCGACCAGTTAACTTGATCTTTGCTATAATGGACGAAAATTACACATTTAATATTTTATTACCGATGAAATGTGATTCCGTTTGTTTTGTAATTAGATGTTTTGCTGTTTTTCCCACACCACCAAATAGAACAGCACGGCATTATTAGATATATTATCTTTATTACAATAAATACAGAATATTTTTTGAAATGTACGGAGACGTTCACACAGGTCAGTAGTTGGCCTGTCTATATTTCAGTGCAAATGGGAGTTGATATTTATATAAGAGCTGTATCGCTAATGTGTTACCGGGAATATATGGCCCTTATTTCGTCTCTATTTCTGGTTATATACTCGATGTTGAAATGTAACACCCCGTGGGGACACTGCAACATTCTGAGGGCACTATGTCCTTACTTTACTAAAACATATAGATTATTAGGATAAAATTAAAAACAATTCAATAGGAAAATTCTACATTATTTAAATAAAATTAAGAATTATTAATAACAAAAAACTAAACAGAATTTTAGGCAATATCAACAATAAATATTATTAATTCATTTTACATTTAGGTCTCATTTCTGATACACTTATGTCTGTCTATTTGACATACTTTACAAATTATAAACTTGGTAATTCGTTTATAAGCACTCTTTTCTAAAAAGTATTCTTTTAGTGAATAAAAAGCTTTTGCTCTGTAGATAGCTCTTTAGATGGGTTACAAAGGCCTTATGTGTGTCTTGTGTTTTTATATTTATTGGGATCGCATTATACATTTGAATTACCATAAAGTGGGGCCCTGAATGGTATATACCTAGAGTACTGAAAGGATGCTTCAACATGTGTAAACCTCTATTGCTACGCTTCAGAGTCTTTACAGGTGAGAAAAAATGATTATATTTCTTTACAAATTTACTACACTCAAGAATGTAAACTGAGGTTAGTGTCAAAATCTTGTGTTTTTTTTTTAAATTAGCAAGTATTCTTATACATATCTTTTGTAGTAAGAATAAGTGGTCAATCTCAACGCAATTTCCCCATAAAACTATCCCGTAGAGAACCTTGCGTGAATAAAGGCATAGTTCGCAGATAGAGCTGTTTTAAAATCTATAACCTTTTTGAGGTTGTACAACGCATAAATAAATGAAGACAATTTACCAGTTAATTTTTGTACATGAGATTTCCAATTCATAGTTGAGTCTAATTCAATACCGCGTAGGGTCGCTGTAGTTTCTGTTTTTAGTTCTGTATTTTTATATTGATACTCGTATTATATATTTATTGGTACGGTCTAAACTGAATACGTTTACATTTTTTTATATATTCAATTCCAAATTGTGAGAGTTTAGCCATTTTATTAGGTTTTCTAGTGTCTTATCTAATTTGTCCTGTAATTCTTCCTCATTTTCACAAGATAATATGATTGTAATCCATCTGCAAATAAAGTGCAATCTTCTTTACATATTTTGGGCAGTTCATTTAGATATATCAAGAACAAAGTACAACCCAAAACGCTACGTATCTACCACACGTATAGTATATCGTATACTATCGTATACAGTTGATATAAAAAAAATCATTGGTGTATGTAAAGCACTTATTGACTACAGCGGTTTCCTTATAAAATTTCTTGGTAAGTTTGTGTTTTTTCTTTCTATCGTGAAAATTTTTAATAATCATGTTTTCACACCGTATGGTAATTTCAATTTTGCTATATATTGTTTTCTAATAGTACATTACGATATTAGTGCGTAAAGATGGTTATAACATGCGAGCTTAGAATAATAACGCATAGAAACCTAGCCCGCACACGCTAAGTGAGGCAAGTTAGAGGGTTCCAAACGCGTCCCAGGAGCGCGCGGGCTGTTAGTGCTCAAGGTCATATTGCACCGCGAACAGCTCCAAAATTTTTTGCTAAAAATGACGAAATGTGCGGTAAATGGGTGTAAAAATACAACAGACAAACAAAATAGACACTAACATCGCATTCCACAAGTAAGTAATGCGTTTCAACTCATATTTTTATGTAAATATTCACTAAAACAGAAAAATAATTTCGCGGCAACAAGATACGAAAGTGTTGCAAAGTAACGAATTTTTTTTCTCCCCATTTTACCATTCTGTATCAAAATAATTATATTACGTAAATTTTAGTGGTGCCTGTAATTTCGATTTATTTGCGCATTTTGAACTAATATTTACTCGAATAAACATTAAATGTTTTCGTTAACTCCTGTAAGTGATTGGGACACTTAATTATTTTATAATACTTTTAACGGCTCTGCGTTCATGCTTTATTGAATAATTATTCATATTAATTTTATTTGAATTGGAGCACATATTGCAACAAATTTACAGTATATATTTGTTTCTACTATAGTGTTGGCACCACCAGTACAACTTTGATAGCTTATTATATGTCTTTCTTTTCGTAACTCAAGCGAAATATTTTATATTAAAATATTTTATTTTCTTAAAAGGGGAGCATTCTTAAGCGATTTTTTAATCTATTTTAACAGTTATTTTCTTTAATGTTTGCTTATGGCATTTTCGGTTTTAGGTTTCGAATATGGCACTTATTTCTAAATCCAAGATGGCGGGCGCGATTTTTCGAATAATGGCAAGTTGGGTATCGTTTTCGAGATGTTTGGGAATGTTCAATACAAATATGGGACTCATTTCTAAATCTAAAACACGACAGTTCAAATAAAAGCAATATTCGTAATGAGCACCCCCAAATACCTCGAAAACGATACCCAACTTGCCATTATTTGAAAAATCGTGCCCGCCATCTTGGATGTAGAAATGAGTGCCATA